GAGCTGGGTAAATAGCTCTCAGTAAAAGTTATCTCAAACTAGATTGTCTAGCTCTCTCTCGGCGACCTTGACCGCTGTCTGGTTGACCAGAAGCAGGTAGGTACCTTGCCCACGATTGGATTTCCAGCTCTTTCTCCGGAAATCCTTGACCAGCACGAAGTCGCCGGGTTGGAGATGGTTAAGTGGACCAGTGGCAGTTGCTAAAGTGGATGACAGGTTAACATACAACATAGCAACATAGCATCCTCACACAAAGTTGTGGAGGGAAGAGGACATCCTGGAGCCTTGAGTCCAATCTGTGGAGGAGTCCCAAAAAGGATTTCAAATGGCTGAGTTGGCTCCGTGTTCGTTCCCACATCCGCATGTACATCAGCACAATGGGCAGAGCTTGTGTCCATGACAGACCTGTGTCTGCACAGCATTTTGCTAGTTTGTTTTTGATTGTGCCGTTCTCTCTTTCCACCCCACCCCCACTCTGTGGATGATAAGCACAATGCTTTCTGATGTCTATGCCCATGTATTCTCCTATCTGCGTAATGGCTTCTAACATCCCCCCTTTTGACACATGGTCTAACCCATGTGTCAACTTAGCAAAATGAGGGAAGAAATGTCTTGGGAGACATGGATTAGAATTTGGACCAACCCAGATGCTGGAGGTTGGGTCAAAAGCAGCCCCAACAGCCTTCCACTGAGCTTTCTCAACTGGTGTAGCTAGCTGCTGCATGGAAGTCAGTGACGACATTTTGTCAGTGAAGGAGGAGACGGGGATTTTAACAAATGATTGTGCGTGAGGTGCGAGAGGAATCAGAGCAGCTGCCTTTGCGGCTGAGTCAGCAGGTAAATTAGCGGACCCAATTTCTTAGGGAAACTGGGTCTGTACTGCTTGCAGAAATTGTCTACACTTCCAAATAGCCACAAAATCGTGCCCTACCCCAAAAGCATAGCGTGAGTCAGTGTAAATAGTCACGGTTTTGCCTTCTGCAAACGTGCAGGCTTCAGTTAGTGCGATGAGCTCTGTTGCTTGTGCTTAGAGGTGACATGGGATTGGTCCGGAACGGAGTACAGCAGAATCTGAAACAACAGGAAAAACCCCACCCGATTAGTGCCCCCTTGGTCGCGAGAGGCAGACCCATCAACATACAAAATGAGGTCAGCGTTGGTCAGAGGAACGTCTTTTAAGTCCGGTCTAGGTGTGCACACAGTCGTGTTCGTCACCTTCAGGCAAAGGTCAATAAGAGGGTTCTTACACCTTTTCCAAAATCAAATTCAAGCACTTTTCAAGCATCTTACAGCTGTTGTAAATTACATATTTATATGCACATACTCAAATGATTATTTCCCTACCTCACATTGACTCAGATGTTCTTTATGCTATAAACAACCAAATGTGTGTTTCGTGATAGCATTTTACACGAGGATGAAAAATTGAAGAAAAGAAAACTAAGTTTAATATTAATATCAAAATGAGTGATCTGTACATCTAAAAACCCAATTCAAGCGACCTTTCACCTCCACTTAATTAAATGCACTGGTTGCAAGATAACAATGTGAGTTAATTGATTTAGATAAAGTCCCCAAAATCCCCCCATAATTTGCAAAAATTAATTTATAAGTTGTGTTGACGCAATAATGTTGGTAATTTCATCAACTTAATATTGTCTCATTTGAACTCTGATTTCTGCATTAATTGATTTCAAACTAAATTCAAGTTGAGGTAAGTAATGCAATTGGCTTGATAACTTAATTGTTCTACACCTTGAGTTAAGGATTTCAAATCCACTCCCACTTAAGATGCCAGGACAAGTTCCCACAGTTAAGACAAATAGAAATATACAAAGGACATTTTAAGGTGAGTGTCATCTTTTGTCATTCAAATACAACTTGAAATTCAAACTCTCCTGATTGAAACATCATGTGTTGAAATAAACAACTGCAGTTCAAAAATAAAAGTGAATTGCCTAATATTTTTGTTGTGGAATTAATTAATTTCTTTCTTTAAAGGCAAAAACATGAATAAGCTAAGAGAAAACCCCTATTGAGTACAATATTATTTGGAGCAACTTCATTTACAAATGGCTGTCAACTTAAAAACATCTGTCCATGTTCAACATGTGGTAATTAAGTATACACAACTTAAGATTACATTTAAATCATACGGTAAAACAAGTTGGAACTTTTGGAGTAATCAACTTAAAAACTTGTTTTTATGCTACCAATGATTAAGTAAGTGGTAATTGAAAACACCTGATTGTAGAGGAAACGCCTTTTCCCCTAACTCAAATAACTTTGTTGCTTTAACAATATTTCATTATAAGTTGTCTTAACTCAATAACCATCGATGCAACCTATTGCCTTGATTTTCTTTAAAGGCCAAGGCATTTGTTTTTAGAGTGTACGTAGACTGGGTTCGTAGACTGGGCCTCCCATACAACCTGGCTGAGCCGATATAAAAACAATCAGCCAAATAACTTTTCAAAACATCATTGATTACTATTCTTTTAGGTACTTTTAGGTTGGCAGTGAACATAAGTCAGAGGTACATGGTGTACTTTTCCTTCACTACAAGTATTTAATACCTTTAGTTACTTCATAGATGTGGATGAATGATGTGAAATCTAATCAGGTGTTAAATCAGACTTTAGTTCCACCTGGAGTAAATCCACCAGCTACCCTGCAGTATACAAAGTCATTCAAACTAGCTGCACCTTTACCAGCTTTGAGAACACTTTCATGATCAATCATTATAAAACATATCATATATATTATTCTGAAATGGACCAATCTGCACAAGGACTACTTTTACTGTCGCTATTTTCACTATATTTTGATGAGAATACTTTTCTACTTTTACTTGAGGAACATTTTGAATGCAGGACTTTTACTGTACCACTCTGGTACTTCTACTTTTACTCAATAACCATCATTCACACATTTTCCAATTACTCAATAGCATGATGTGTGTGTCTGTGTCACTTCCCTGGTTAGATGCTGCTGGCTGAATTTCCGTCTCGCTCGATCGGGTCCCCTCCTCCCCATCTGGTGTAGGTCAGTCTGATTGTGAATGGCCCCGTCCTTGCTGTCCCCCTCTCTGCCTCCACTGCCAGTGTTCTGTGAGCAGTCTCATAATCCAATGTTCAACACTGCCACACTTGAAACATCTTTCGTCAAATGAAGGTCTTGCTTCTCGTCTTCTGCCTCGGAAAACCTCTTCTGCCTCTCCCTCGGTATTGTGATCGGCCAGCATTCTGCGTAGCTTGCGCTGTGTCTGTGAGTCCGTTGAGTCCGTTGTTGCCCAAACACCTGCTTGGGCTTGGGTTTGTTTATCCCGCTGTTGTCCCCATCTACTTGGGGCTGATGGGGGTGGACGAGCTTACGGGGAGTCTGTTGACTACATGGCTGGGACTTGTAGTGGCGGTGGAGGTGGTTGAGGTGGCCCAGCCGGATTGCCAGGGTTGTACCCTGGGGGAGGGAAAGGATACCCAGTCGAGGAGAGGTCATTCAGGCCTGCAATGGAAGAACACAGAGATGTCTGGGGTTTACATGGTTTTGGAAATAATTTATTTTCCTTCTTTTCTTCACATTCATCTTCAACCTTAATATTTTCTTTAATGCCCAAGGCCAACTGCCTTCTTTCACGGCATTCTGCTTAATCCTCCCAGTATTTATTATGAACACTTTCTGTGAGTACACTTTCTGTGAGTGTCCAGTTTTCTATATAAGTCTTTTACTTTAACTTTATTTTTATTTCTACTTCTTCTTGTAATTTATTCTTTAGGTTCTTGATTTTTAATTTACTCAAAAACCTCCCTTTGGAAATCCAAACATTTCCGTCCATATATTTAATTTAGACAGACTGTCCTCACCATATTTTACTCTCATGACATCTACAATCGGGCCCTCAGGAGGGTGTACAAGCCCCCTACTTTGCCTTGCTCCCATGACAACATCTCTAGATGTTACCAAGCCACCCCTGACAAAACAAGGGGTGTTTAAACACCTTTCTTTTTTCTTTTTTTTCATCCGTCGATGATGTGATAATTGTTTCTCAGTACAAATCACGCAAAAACTGATCGTAAACCCATGATCTACGACGGGATAAACCCTATGTGATATTTGTTTCTCAGTACAAATCACGCAAAAACTGATCGTAAACCCATGATCTACGACGGGATAAACCCTATGTGATATTTGTTTCTCAGTACAAATCACGCAAAAACTGATCGTAAACCCACGATCTACGACGGGATCAACCCTGATATATATATATCCCTTCGAGCAATCCCCCTCGATGTCATGGAGTTTGCTTACGTTTAACTTTAAACAATTTAGACACTGCACTTCTCACCCAGTATTGAAAAGCCTTTTTAAGTCCGTTTGATCTCGTGAAGTCAATCAGTTCCACCCCCGCCGCTGGTCCTCTCGTCCCGTACTGTTTTTGTCGCGTGGTAGAGGGATACCGAGGATCCTGGAGCGACCAACCAGCGTTCGTAGGTGTTCCCAATCAAACTTGCAGAGACCCTGCTCGCAGCGCCAATTGTTATGGAAATCTAAAAACCCCAATACTGTAGAGTACAAGTCAGAGTGATCAAATAAAAATAAATGGTGAATCAGACAGAGTTGTCTTTCTGGTATTTATTTGAAGCTTCAAATATATATATTACAATACAATAAATATAGACACAGGTCCCACAGAGTGTAGAATAATCTGCGCGAGTGTGCGCAGTTCAATATGGCAGCAAAGCTTATATAGCAGAAATGATGAGAAGGTAAGAAATCTGTCTTCACACGGTCACATTGTTATTAGACACCTGGCCTTGAGCTGTAGAAGTTCTCGTGTGACTTTGTGTGAGTCTCAACCCAGTAGCCAAAACAGCTCTGTGGCCTTGAAGTAGAGTAGATAGAGGCAAACAGCACATCTAACCAAATGAGAAGCATTTGGTTTAAACATATTAGGATAGAGTGGACATTTCCACTACAGGACTCGAGGACTATTCCGTACACATCTCTGGACCTGGTTTGTGACGGTGTTGATCCATGTGGAAGGGACACAGACACCCCAAGAGGCCCCTGTTTCACCTTTAAATGATCTGGACCTGTGCCTGGTATGTTGCAATGTTTGTTTTATTTAATCTTTTCAAGTCTTCAATTTACTTTGATTGATATAGTACATCTTGAAAGTCTGTATCAATGGTTTATGTAATGTTTTCCATTTATATACAAATGTTTCAAGCTAGAAACCTCACATATTCCTATCAACAAGTGATTTTGGCTAAATACCCAATTAAACAAAGCCTTTTTATCCCACATTATAAGATCATTCCACTTTAGTGCTACAGCATTTTCAGACAACAAGCCATTGTGGATTGTATGTATTGCCCATTTGCATCATTGGTGTTACAGTGTTCTCTCCATGCACCACAGAACCAGAACCACATGGACCCAAGACCAGAGTCATCAGAGGCAGTGCAGCTCAGGATTCTTTCAGGAGCCTTCAATCCTTCATCTTCATCTAATAAAATGTAAGCAACCAATTTGCATCAGATACTATGAGTAGATTTAATGTTGTTTTATAACCTGGAAACTGTGTTCATGGATTTGTATACCTTGTAGCATATTTTCCACTTCTCTCATAAGTTGATGTCTGTGTGTGTTACGGCAACCATATCAATATTGTTTTCCAACATTTTGTTGCTGTATTATGATATTTATCATCTTGTTTACAGCAACTTCTGATTGGAGAGAGTCCTCAACACCCAGAAGACTTCATCTCTACACTGCGGCTGCAACAGCAGCAATCAGTCCTGACGCAGGCACATGTTCTTAACCCGAACCTTCACAAACACTTGATGCTCAGCCGTCCTGGTAGGGGATCCCTCTAAGACTTGGCCTACCTAAAGGTTTCTCCCTTTGTCCTTAATAAGGTTTTTCTCTGAGTTTTTCCTGATATACTTAGAGGGTCGAAGGCTGAGTGGATATGAAACGTTTCTATATATGGACACTTAATGGGGCAGACATATAAATAGCAGTTGTTGCTTCTTTTGAGCATTTAACCGTACTATTATTTCATGACATTTAGAGTGAGATTTTAATAGTCCAATTAAAATATACATATGTGACGTGCATGAAATGCATAGTAAAACTGTTTGTTTTATGCTTGCTTTTGGCTTGTTCTGGTTTGACTGCTATTATTTTATTAATATGAAAAGTTGCTATGTTTTTTTTCTCTTCACTTGTTTGATTTATTTAATTGATATGAATAGTTTCTGTATTTTAGATTTTTTGTTCTTCAGATTGTTATTTTCTTTAGTAATTTATGTGAAATGTTTCTGTATATTAACTTATTCACTTGAGTGATTTCTTTACATTTATTACAACATTTGTATCAATAGTTTCTGTATATAGTTGTTTTATCACTTGTTCTTTCACACAAATTACTTTATTTTTGTTCACTATTTCACTTTGTGGTTTTACAGAATATATTTGTTAGTAATTGATTTGAAACGTTTTATATAGTTTTTTCCCCCATGTTCTGGTTTTTGAAAATAAAATGTTCCAAATGTTACTATTTCACCAGTTCTTTTTGCATTTTCAACTTTTCCTACGAATAACATTCTACCTTCAAAGCCTTAAATCTTTAACATTATTTATACATTTGGAGTTTCATGCTACTTTTTAACATAATATTCATTCATATGGAAACCATTCAGTCATCCAAATATTCCTGATTCTTCACTTTCTTCTTACACATTATATTTCAGCATAAAGCTTTCCCACTAGCAATTTCTTCAGGAATTGCATTCTCTAGTTATCTCTGATCTCTCGGCAAATTGAAAGTACTTATTGCCTGAGATCTCATGATGTTGTTTTATTAAATGTGCCAAGTGCTAGGACTGTCTTAGGGAAGAAAGCTTTTAGTTGTGCAGCTCCACTAAATTGGAACAGTCTGCAAACATGTTTAAAACTGAGCACTTTGGTTCCCCTGCATCATTTTAAAACTCAGCTGGGTGACATGCTGTTTGATACTCATTGTACCTGTCACTGTAAATAGAGTTTGTAAACTATATCCTGTACATTATGTTGTATGTCATTGTTACGACCCTGGTCGTTATGCGTATTGTGTGTAGAGATTTCCTTCGAGTCTTTTAGTCCTTCAGAATTATTAGGTAGGTTTAGTAGTAGGCATGGTTAACAAAGCGGAGTTTGTGTCTTAAGGGGGGGGTGTCACGGCTGCTGCTGCTGCTGTCTGCTTGTTAACCTGTCTGGGATTGTTTTCAGCTGTGTTATATGTATATGAGATGTGCCGTTGCCCGGACGCCATTGGATGCCAGTTTCCTGTCCCTCCTCCGGTAGGCGTGACCAAAGATCTGGATTGGAGCAGGTCGGGCCCGATTTACCAATCCCTGCCCACACCTTCCGGGGACTCTTACAAGAGTGTGTGCATCTCAGTTAGACAGGAGAGGTCTGAATCTGTGTCAGACGTCTCTCGGTGCTCTCCTTATGTTCTGTGTAGCTCTGTGCTAGTTCTGCTACAGTGGTTAGTTAGGGTGTGTGCTTAAGTGTGTATTCTGTGATTTGTGACGGCGTCGAACTTGTGCGAGACGCCTCACTATTTTAGCCTTAAGTGCCCATACGTGCGCTATGACTGTGATAATCTGTGGCCTTCATTTTGTGTAGCGTTATTTTGAACAGATAGCTGGTTTTAAGAGCCTGTATTTTTGGTTATATCATCTTTATTTTGAGTTTATTATTAAAATCAACCTCTTACCAAGAACACCTGGTTTCGTGTTGCTTCCCTTTTACCCTAAGCGAGCTGGGGACGTAACAGTCATCCTTATTGTTGTTTTTATGTTACATGTGTAACTAATGTCCTGCAGGTCACCCTTGAAAAAGAGATCTTTTGATCTCAATGGGCTTTCACCTGGTTAAATAAAGGCTACAAACAAACAAACAAACGAGACACACAAAACTAAAACCGTGACATGACATAAGAATCGTGACACACAGACTAAATAAAGAAATCATGTTGCTTTAACATGTACAAGTTAAATATACTGAGCATATTAAAAGCCTAAAATAAACATAAAAAAAAGTCATGTTGGTTAAACATAGGGTAAATTAATATACCTAATATTAAAGGAACTATTCAAATGAACATAACAATTTACTGTTTCTTTGACATAAAATAGTTATTTTTAACTTAATGGAATAGTTTTAAGTACACGTTTGGAATATGTGCAACCGATGTCCATATTAAAATCATGTGAATCTTACAGACTTTTTTTTCAGTGTACTCCTTCAAATTGACAATGTGAACATATGTAGCCATTTTGCAATTTCTGTTATTTTCAGTTGAGAATGTTTCAAAGTACTAAAAATGAAACTTACTTTTTGTTTATACGGTTTATAAGTAGATGTTTAAATATGAAATGCTTTATTCATTAATGGTTGTATAATTCTACAAATATTTTTATATTTTAAGTTTTAAAATGTTTATAATAATTGTTCCCTATAGAACATTTTGTGCAGTCATTTTATTGAACGTGTTTGATTGGAAAATGTTAGAAAAACGCTGTAAAATAACAGTATTCTACCTGTAGAACTTTAGGTTCTGTATTTCTTTTTGTGTTTGATCATAAAAATCTAATAACGAAAATGTAAAAAACAGTTTTTCTCATCAGAACTTTATTTATGGTATTTGAATGTCACATTTTAAGACAATGGATTTTGAAAAGAGAGGCAACACCTTTAACATTACAGTGTTTTCCTGTAAAATCTTTAATTTTCCCGTAAATGAATGGCTTTTGCACTTTATTTCAGTTAAAATATTTTACTTTAATTTATTTATTGGCTACTTTGACCGTTTTTTTACGAGTTTCTTTTTTACAGTGTAGCCTATTTCATTTGACACAACTGGATTCACGTGTGAGATGCTTTTTGTGCATGTTTGCTTGCTGTATGTGGATGACGTGATTAATCACGTCATCTACATACAGCAAGCAAACATGCACAAAACAGTATTTGACAGGAAACCATTGTATGAGCTTCCTCCAGGAAGTACCGGAGCTTGGGACTACAGTTATGCACGTCTATCATTGTAAATTCACAGTAAATTACTGGCAACTCCTGCATTGCTTTCACAATAGAAATGTAAAAGTACAGGCCCTTATTGTAATGCATGTAAAACAAAATGATGTAATTCCCCAGTATACTGTAATATAACAGTAATTCCTTAGTCATTGAAGCTGTGAAGTTACAGTATACAGCTTTACCTTTACAACAATGCATTGTAATATCATGAATTTGAAATTACAATAATAATAATACATTTTATTTCTATAACGCTTTTCTTGAACCGAAAGACGCTTTACATTTGGGAGGGAGGGTAGACAAACAAAACAAAAACAAAGCCAAAAAGAAACAAAGAAACAAAACAAAACAGAAAAGCAGTCAGGAGGAAGTTGGTTGAGAGGGGGGGGGGGGGGGGGCTTATGGATACAGAGTTGAAGAGGTGGGTTTTGAGTCGGGACTGGAACAGGGTGAGAGACTCAGACTTACGGAGGTATTGGGGAGGGAGTTCCAGAGCTTCGGGGCTGCCACAGAGAAGGCTCTATCCCCGAAGCTCCGGAGTTTGGCCTTGGGGATGGAAAGCAAACCGGCTGAGGTGGATCTGAGGGACCGGGGTGGTTGGTAGAGGATGAGGAGGTCAGTGAGGTAGGGGGGGGGGCAGATGGTGGAGGGCTTTGAAAGTGAGGACCAGGAGTTTGTAGTGGATGCGGTGTGAAACGGGGAGCCAGTGGAGTTATTTGAGGACCGGGGTGATGTGATGCCATGATTTGGTGTGGGTGAGTAGTCTGGCGGCTGCGTTCTGGACACGCTGGAGTCTATTGAGGGATGTACTGATTCCATAGAGGAGTGAGTTGCAATAGTCAAGGCGGGAGGAGATGAAGGCGTGAATGAGTCGCTCAGCTGCAGGGCGGGTGAGAGAGGGACGGAGTTTGGCAATATTGCGGAGGTGGAAAAATTAGGTTTTTACAACTTGACGGATGTGGGGCTCGAGGGAGAGGGTGGGGTCAAATATAACGCCAAGGTTGCGTGCCTGTGTGGAGGGGGAAACAGGGGTGCCATCAATGGTGACTGTCAGGTTGGGGGTTTTGCTGAGGGGGGATTTGGAGCCGATGAGGAGGAGTTCAGTTTTATTGCTGTTGAGTTTGAGGAAGTTGTGTTGCATCCAGGATGTTATTGCAAATTCGATGTGGGTGAGGGGGGGGGGGGGGTTGTGGGGGGATTTGGTGCTGAGGTAAATCTGTGTGTCGTCAGCGTAACAGTGAAAGTCCAGGTTGTATTGGCGGAGAATCTGACCAAGGGGGAAGATGTAGATGATGAAGAGGATGAAGAGGAGGGGGCCGAGTACTGAACCTTGGGGAACACCTTGGGTGACTGAAGCTGTGGCAGAAGAGTGGTTGTTGAGGGAGATGAAGTGGGATCTGTCGGAGAGGTAGGACTGGAGCCACCTGAGTGCAGTACCTTCGATACCGATGTCCTGGAGTCGGGTAAGCAGGATGGTGTGGCTCACGGTATCGAAGGCTGCACTCAGGTGGACGAGGATAAGGATGTTGAGGGAACCGGTGTCAGCAGAGGTGAGGAGGTCATTGAGGACTTTGATTAGGGCCATTTCGGAGCTGTGGTGGGGACGAAAACCAGACTGAAGGGGTTCAAAAAGCTGGTTGGTTTGGAGATGGCGGTGGAGTTGTTTGGAGATAATGCGTTCTATTGTTTTTGAGAGAAAGGGAAGGTTGGAGATGGGACGGTAATTACTGAGGGAGGAGGGATCCAGACCGGGTTTCTTGAGGATGGTAGTGACAGCAGCAGTTTTGAAGGCAGAGGGAACGGTTCCTTGGGACAGGGAGGAGTTGAAAAGGTTGACAAGGTAGGGGCAGAGGACGGGGAGACAGGACTTCAGTAGAGGGGTGGGTAGAGGGTCAAGGGAGCAGGTTGTGGGTTTGGAGGAGCTGATTAGTTTGAGTATTTCAGGGGGGGTAACCAGAGTGAACTGAGAGAGGCGGCCGTGGGGAGGAGGGCTTGGGAGGTCCAGGAAGATGGGGGGAGAAATTGTGGCGGTGGATGTTGGGGGAAATGTATGTGTGTCAGATGCAGCGGATAGGGAGAGATTAATGGCAGTGATTTTGTCAGAGAAAAACTGGAGGAATTAACTGCATAAAGTGGAAGTGGAGGAAGGGAGGGTGTCAGCACGAGGTTTGAGGAGCTTGTTGACGGTGGAGAAGAGGGTCCTGGGGTTATGGGAGGAGTCGGTAAAGATGGTGGAGAGGTAAGCAGTTTTTGCGGCAGTGAGGGCGTCTCTGTAGGTAGTGAGATGGAGTTTGTAGGATTCATGGTGAACCGTGAGGGATGATTTCTTGGTTAGGCGTTCAAGCTGGCGGCCGGTTTGCTTCAGTTTACGGAGTGCAGGGGTGAACCAGAGTGAGGAGGTTTTAAAAGTGACATTTTTCCTTTTGAGGGGGGCAAGGCTGTTGAGGGAGGCGAGTAGGGTGGAATTAAGGTGGTTGAGTTGTTCATCGGGTGAGCTGAGGTTCGAGTCCAGGGGGAGAGTAGAGGACAGCAGGTCGGAGAGGTGCTGGGGATCAACAGAGCATAAATTACGGAAGGTGATGTTCCTGGATGGGGGGGGGGTGTGGCGGACGGGGGAGGCGATGGTGAACTGTATGAGTTTGTGGTCAGAGAGGGGAAAGGGGCAGGGGTGGAGGTCGAGTACTGGGATGTTGGTAGAGCAGACAAGGTCAAGGATGTGTCCTTTATCATGGGTGGGGAAGGTGACATATTGGGTAATTGAGAAATTGTCCAGAAGGGAGGAGAATTCAGAAGCGAGTTTGCAGATGGGGGAGTCCATGTAGATGTTGAGGTCGCCGAGGAGTAACAGACGTGGGGAGAGGGATGAAGCAATGGTGAGGAGTTCAGTGAGATCAGAGAGGAAGGAGGGGTGTGGTTTGGGGGGGCGGTAAATGAGGATAACTGTCAGTGAGCGAGGGGCTTTGAAGGCGAGGAATTCGAAGGATGGTACTGAGGGGAGCGTGAGTTCTGTAGTCCGGATGTTGTGGTTGTAGATGACAGCCAGCCCACCACCACGGCGTGAGGGGCGGGGTGAAGAGACATACAATACATTGCAGTGAAGACATTCACAGTAAATTGCTGTGAACCTTACTGTGAAAGTCATGTTGCCAGGTATTTATTGTGAATTCACGGTGAATATTTTTACAGTGTAGATATGCTTACGGTTTCGATTCCTTAACATTCACAATGACAACAATATGTCAACACGCTGCCAGCAAATGTTCCTTATCATTAAATGTTATGCTTTGTTATCGTTGTGGGTGTATTAAAGCATTAGCAGTGAAATGTTGTGGAACCAGTTATGCAGCTGGTCTGATAGATGAAGGTGATAACTTGGCAGGAGGAACCATGGCCAGGTGTGTATAAAAGGATGCTGCAGGTGGATGTGAGCAGCAGATACTTGGAGACAGAAGTGAATTCAGGAAAAGATGGCCGCCCGCTCTGCTGCTCCTGCTTCAGCTGGTCTCACTGGCGTCTGCCATCACATCACTACGGGGAACCGTGACCTATAGCTACAAAGGAAGAAACCCTGATGGATCATTTAGGGTGAGAGAAACTACTTTGAAACCTTTGCATCAGTTAATAATTAACTAATTTATTCATATGTATGCCGTTGTTAATTTTACACTCACTTCTGTTAAAGTTTTTGCCATACATTAAATATAGTTTACCTCAATGTTTTCTTTTAACTGTGTTGTCTAGCTTTTTACCTTGATTGGTACAGTATATGTCAAAGCACAAAATACATTGGAAATAGCGATAAAATATGCATTAATATTATTTTAATTTTTTTCAAAGGTGGACTTTCGCGACAGGGCGACCTATGATGGGTGTCAGTACTCCCATTACCAGACATGTAGCACTGGCAACTGTGGCTTACTCACTAATCAACAGAGAGGCATAACTGACAGGAGCACCAATGCACCGCAAAGAAACAGAGAATGGTGTGAAACAGAAACAGTTCAACAAAGAAAAGTCCCAACTGACAAACCTTTTGAGATGAGGTGAGCTTTTTCTCTGACTCAAATCATGCTAATGTTATATGAGTCTCCATAATTGCATTGCAAACACTTGTATTTGTTGTTTTGATGCTTATCATAAAATAATAAATAAAACAAGCATCTGTTTATTAATGCAGTATTTGTTTGCACACCTATCAGGGCAAGTAGCTGTTGTTGGATCCGAACACGTAACGGGGTTAGAGGTTGGAGATTTCGAACTCAAGTAGATTTGGGATCAAGATCTGACACTGGCAAACCAAACAGATCCCCAGACATTGCCATTCTACCTTTCCTACGGTAAGCTCATTCTTTATGTTGTTGTTTGATTAAATCGCTCTGTATCATGAAGGTGAAGTCCTGCAGACAGTTTCTGCTCTGCACTCACAAAGTAAAGTGACAAAATGGGTGTTAACCTTTACAGTTCTGCCTTACCATCGGCTGAAACCTCTTTCCCAAAATAGTTGTTAGATGATTGCTTTACAATTGCCTCTATTTAATAACTGTGTCTACTGCTTCCATTCATTTGAATGAAATTATATTCATTAAAAAAAGGTCAACTCGCGTTGTGTTTATTCTTTGAAATGGGTGTGTAATGTGCATATAAGTATCAATTTAAATTCTTTGAGGGTGGGTTTGGGGCCACCCTAAAAGAAGCCACTGTGGCCGTGCTTACTCTACTACCTCACATGTGCAGTTATAACTCTGATTATTTGATGCTTTTGGGTTTTATGGGCAGAACAGTGTTCCTCACTCTTGTTAATGTGTCCTTTCAAGAGTTCCCCAGAACTGCCCACGGACCTACAAGCTGATGTCCTTCGACCCTGATGGAGACACAGTTCGCTGCAGATATGGAAATATCAGAAATATAGAGTGCAGCGGATGTAACCAACCTTCAGGCTTTGTCTTGGATCAGGTCTGTGAATTAAAAATCTATTTCCTTATACATTTTCCAATACCTGACTGATCCTGTGCCTCACTAAATGTCTGAATGTTTACATTGTTAGGGTTCCTGCTCCTTACATTACCCGCAATGCCATCGCCAACCCAAGTGTTTTTGGATTTGAGTTGGTGGTGGAGGACTTCCCGCAAAGGCCCATCTCTCTATCCTACACCGATGGAACCCAATCCTACAAGGCTCCACTGATTCCCATGAGGCATAAACGAGCCTACTACCACACATATCCTCCCACGACTTCAGCACCAATCACGACTCCAGCGCCTAACACTATGGCACCAACAACACACCCATGGTGGTGGCGGGGGTATCATACACCTCCAGCACCGACCACAACTGCAGCACCAACCACAACCCCATGGGGGTGGTGGTATCATTCTACACCTCCAGCACCGACCACAACTGCAGCACCAACCCCATGGGGGGGGTGGTATCATTCTACACCTCCAGCACCGACCACAACTGCAGCACCAACCACAACCCCATGGGGGTGGTGGTATCATTCTACACCTCCAGCACCGACCACAACTGCAGCACCAACCCCATGGGGGGGGTGGTATCATTCTACACCTCCACCACCGACCACAACTGCAGCACCAACCACAACCCCATGGGGGCTGCATACAACTCCAACCACCACAGACAACAGACACCTGCATGGCACCACGCCTCCTCTCAGTAAACTGCCTTTGCAATTCTCCTTTCTTGGTGAGTATGGTTGTACTTGTCCTCAATTAGTAAATCCATACTTACAGAAAAGTTGTTGCTGCACTGCCTTCAATGGGTGTAACCTGTCATGCACCTCTTGCAGCTCTAGTGACACCTTAATGTGCAACGTCTTATTTTTTGTTCTACATTTTGGTTTTAAATACATTCTTTAGCATAAGAAGTAAGTAAATGTTCTACACCTGCATAGAGACATTTTAGTTGTCCTGAAAACCCTAACCCTAACCCTTAGGTGAGGTTGACTCACAATTATGGATTTGCGATTTTCCTTTGGTTTCTTAGGTGTATGCAAATGTACATGACCGGCTCTTTCAGGTAAAATATTAGAAATGTGAGGGATTAGGGTTGTGACATTTATAAATCCGGAAAAATGCCATGATTGTTGGATCTTTAAAAAAAAAATCATTACATTAGTATTTTGAAGCACTCGTTTTTTTATTTCTTTCAAGTGGTCTATAGCGCCATCTGGTGGAATTTCTTATTTTTAGAAATAATTTTCAAAATGTTGTCTATGTGTCGGTGCCTTAACAAGAGGCCAGAATCAAGGAACTTACAATTATGGTTTTGAAGATGGGCTTAATTTGAAAATGAATGGGGGTGCGGTAAAATGTCAGGGATAATACGGCCTCACAGCTTTCTGCAACAGTCCGCACAAACTAGTGGAAAAGCCGTAATTTGAAGATAGCAATTTTAGGATTTCCCTCTTCAAAACCCTCACCTGAAGATAATTAGCCTTTGACAGCTAATGAATATAATCTGCTGTGACAGCTTTGATGTGTTGAGCAACAGACAATGACAAAGTGGTTTTAAGAACTGATCAAGAACTCTTCAAGAACTGTTGCACTTTTTAACTGCAGTGGACCCACCTGCTCCCTCATGTGTTGATGGACTCTACTTGCCAAAGTTTGTGCACCCAACACCTGACGATGGACAACACATCAATGCCGAGGTCAACAAAGAAGTGGAGATCAGAGTCCGAGCACAAGCTTCACATGCAAACGTAAGTGAGAATCAACGTGATGAGTATTGCCTTTGTGGCGTCAGAACTAGTGTAATTTCGTTGACTAAAACAATGACGAAATATGTTCGTCAACGACCTTTTTTTTCCATGACGAAAACGAGACGATGACGAGACGGCACGACGGCAGTAAACAATAACTGTAACGAAATCATCACTGCAATATCGTTGACGAAAAGTTGACGAGACGAAAATGTAGTTTACTAAATAAAAACTATGTCAAAATCTCTCTTTTCTTTCGTTGACGAAAAATGAGGAGACGAAATATTATCAAAGATAACGTTACGTCTCTGATAGTCAGTTTTTCTCCCAGCAGTTCCATTTCCTCCGGTGCTGCGGCTGGGCAGCAGCTGTGTGTCTGTGCTGCGCGCGGCAGTACATTTGAATTACACCGGGCAGCGGCACACTGTGAACTGTCAGGAAGACTCGGGTCTATGTTCAGGGAGCACGAATCCTTGTCAAAAGAAGACATGGCCAGCAAATTAGACGCTGAAGTTTAGCGCTTCCAGTTAGCCACTCCGTGCGGACATAATTGTCCCTCATTGAACGTCCGATTCTCTCCCTTTTTCCTCTGCGTACACACAGCTCGAGTTGCGGGCATTTGCCTGTCCATCTGATTTAATTTGTAGTTGCTGCTGTATGCGGAAAGTTTAGTAAAGTTATGTTTGATTAAGTACCGCCAAATCTCCACCCTCCATAATGCTTCATTTGCTTGAGTATTTCTAACGGCGGTGATGACAGTTACAGTATTAAAAACTGATGTTGATGGTGATTTGATTGGATGGCAGTGTCCAATCAAATCGCCAGCCGCCGCCGCCTCTGAAGGGAAGCAAGAGGCGGCTAGCTTCCCTTGGCATGGCCCTGACCAATCACAGTTGGCAGGGGCATCACGTGGGCCTCATCTGATTGGTCAATCCCTCCATTTTTTTTCACACACTCATGGTCTCTAACTAACCTTATTCAACATAAAATAAAATGGCAACAAACAGGGCTTGGGAGCAGTGGTCGCACTCGCGTTAACCAAATACCCCCCCGTCAGCGTGAGTGAGTGATAATTGTGTACTCGACGGGTAATAATGGATTATGACGTAAATGTTACAATCCTGTCCGTCAAAATGACTGACAACGAAAAAGTCTAAAGCCACCACTGCTTGGGAGAAAGAAACGATGTGATATTTGGGCCCATTTTCGCTACAATGAGGCAGAGAAAAAAGGCGAATGCATTGTTTCATCAGAAGGGAAGCAATGTGGCCACAGCTGGTAAAAACACCACAAACCTGAGCAGATACTCTCTGCAAAGCTTCTTAATCATTCAACCTGTGTTTTTCATCAAATAAGGACAAGATATAATCTTATTTTTTTATATATGCTAAAATGACAAAGTATTGGTTTTGGCTAGACTAGTTTGACTGAAATGTTCTATATAATCTGAACTAAAAAAGACAACAGTTTTCATTGACAAAAAGTAGACTAAAATAATTAGTTTTCTTTGACTAAAATAAGACTAAAATGCTCAGACTTTTAGTCGACTAAACTTGACTAAACAAAAACAGGATGAAGGTGACTAAATATGACTAAAACTAAAAAGGAAATGTAACAAAGGACTAAGACTAAAACTAAATTAAAAAATAGCTGATGAAATAACACTAGTCAGAACATTATCAGCATTTCTGCTAGTGAGATAAACTTCAGCGATAAGAAGGAAAATATCTGGTTTCTTTCTTTTGTTTTCACACAGACTACATGATATCATCATCAGTGGGCCACTGAATATCACCAAGCACAGAAGCACACATGGAGACTTTGTCATTAGGTGGACGCCTGGCCCTGATGATGTGGGGGATCATTACCCAATCTGCTTTGCTGTTGAATCAGTAATCGAGTGAGTGAGCCTTACATTTATTTTCTATTTGATACAATTAGTATGCATTTGTGTGTGTTAAATATTGATTTCACTTTTCACACATTTTACAGTCCCGCCTCTACCATCCCCCCTCCAGCCACAATTTATTACGGTTACCATTCTCACGTCCCCCAATCTCCACAGTAAGTAACAGTTTGATATTTTTGAATCAAACTTAAAAAGCTATAAACGACATTGACATAAACAAATAAATCGTCTGCATATTGATTTGACTGACTATGTGGTCAAAGTTACCTAAAATTCAAACACCTTACTGAATGAGTAACAGGCATTACTCCTTAAACAAAAAAAACGATTCAAGATAAATCTTTGGTCATTGATGCTTTTCAGGTCCGGCATCTATCAGTCCGAGATGAGGTGCGTTCTGGTGAACATCCGTCAAAGACTAAGTAAGAACGATTTTTGTTTAACATCAACATTGTATAGTAGATCTACAACTGGAAAGGCGTTTATATCATAACCAAAAGGTTACATTCCATTAGTGGCTTCATGGACTTTTGCAAGGCCGTTGTGTTTGATCAAATCAAACCCATTACTGTAGGCGAAAACACCACCCATGCCCTGAATTTATATTAACTGAAACCTTTCTTTGGGTCAACAATATTTAAGGAGCAAACAAGTCAATATAAATCTTTGTTAACTAGCTTTGCAGTCTTCTTCTTGTCTGTTCTGGAGCGTTACTGCCACCTGTAGACTAGAACCATCAGTGTAATGTGTATTTATTTTGTAAACTATTTATCTCTTGATCTAGTTGAATCCCATGTGACCTGCCATGAGTCCTCAATGACGGTAGAGGTTGAGAGATCTTCTCTCCCTGGACTCCATGAGGATCATTTACGCCTCAATGACCCCAGCAACACGGCCTGCAACCTGCAGACAAACTCCAACAGCACGCACATCATCGCGGTCGTACCCCTCAACGCCTGCGGCACTCAGATCGAGGTAACAATAGAGCATCTGTTTCATCACCTGCCGGTTTTTTCTCTAAACTACTTTTTATTAGGAGTATGACGGGGACTGGGTCCTAAAAATATTCATATAAGTAAAATTACAATGTTTTAGACATTAAAGCATGCAAACAGATTCTAGTTGACACCCCAAATACACATATGAACGTGAACACAATATGTCCCGTTTAACTCTGCAGGAAGATGAGGAAAACCTGGTTTTCAAAAATGAAATCACCACGGTGGACAACATACTACGACCTGATCACCAGGAACCACCTGCTGGACGTCCAGTTCTTACTGCCAGTACCCCAACGTGGGAACGTGTCGCAGGGGCTTCACAGCACACAGGAGGAATGTGGTGGTGTGGGATAAAGGCTTCGGAAAGTTCACCTACGAGTTTGAGTTCTACCCAGACAGCCAATATAGACAAATGGTTGATCCAGGGCTGTACCCTCTGGAGTACGATGTGACGAACAAGATCTACATGCAGATAGAGGCCAAATCTACCGTCAACAACACCCAGCTGTTTGTGGAGTCCTGCAGTGCAGCACCATATGACACCCCCAACTACTGGCCAACATACTCCATCATCGAGAATGGGTAGGCATGAGCATTGAGCACGCCATCTAGTGGCAACAGGGGACATAACAATGCATTGGGAAAGATGTGCTGTGTCATAGGTTTGTAACTAAACTGCCCGTAGGTGGGAATGACGTGTTTTCAGGCAGTGCATTAATATGGGATTTAATCAGGAAAAACAATTATTATTATTGTCTTTATTGAACAAGGACCATCAATACAGGTTAATCTCAAAAAGAGAACATTTCTGCTTGCTTTTAACTCATTTCCATCTGCAGTCCTCCATCAGGTACACACTTTTGTTAAAAAACAAAAAAAACGAGTATGTTTCAAACTTTTTGAAAAAGGCTTCCAAAAATACATTTCGCTAAATGTGGCTATTGGTGTCTGAATTGATTCCTTTTAATGTATCAAAATTAGCATTAGATTAGCAATTTTAGCGATTACCAATCGTGAGGCATGGACTCACAGACGCAATATTTCTTAACTTTTCTTTTTGTTGTTACTGTTAGGTGTAATGTGGACCAAACGGTGCAGGTGCATCCGAGCGCCAACCCGAGACAGTTCAGGTTCAGCATGGAGGCCTTCCAGTTCATCGGCTTGCACGACCAGGTGAACAATCTAATATGTGTCTATACTCTCTGATCTTTTACTTAATACAAATCATTAATACCACAGTGTAGGAATACTCTGTTGCATGTAGTCTTGACATTTTTACTAAAGTAAAAGCACAAAAAGTGTCGATATATTTTGTCTTTGATCCAACCACAGCTCATGTTATTTCTCCACTTGAAAAAAAAGTCTGTATATCTGCTGATGTAATGACAGCGTGTTGTGTTGCGTTCAGGTGTACATCAGCTGTCAGGTGCTGATGTGTGAGGCAGGGAGCAGCGGCACCAGGTGCTCACAGGGGTGCATCAACTCCCCCCTTACTGGGCATCATCATCACCGCAAGAGAGAGGCCCATCACTCATGAGCGCCAGGCACTTCATTCCCAGGGTCCTCTGCGTTTTGAAGAGATCAGCGGAGAGCAACCGGGAGCCCCAGGTACGTTTTCCCTCAGAAGTACCTGCCTACTTTGAGGCTACGGTTGAAAAGTGAAAATTAGGACCTGTGTCTTTTCCTAGCCACTTTTCCTTAATGGGACTTCTGGAACATAGTGACATCACTAGTTATCACTTGCGCTCCTATTGGCTGGTGCTGCAACACATTGTACGTGATAGGCTAAGGGGCAGGACATCTCTAAGTGTTTGACCAATCACAACAGAGCCGGCCAGCTAACCAATCAGAGCAGACTGGGCTCTGGTTTCAAACAGAGGGTGAAAAGAGGTGCTGCAGCACAGGCAGTATGAGAGAAATAAAGAGCTTTTTGAACATTAAAGCATGGAGACATGTCCCAGTAGAGACACTACTGATATGAGAATGAGCAGATTAGGTTCTAACCTTAGTGAAAAAGTGATGGGCCTTAGGTATTGTGGGACAGGATTTTCCAGTGTATCCTAAAGGAGATATCAAGCATTAAAGCTTCTTTCCTATCATCAACATTTTAAAAAGCTGTTATCATGGATGCCACTTAGAGACCTCGGGTCGTTTCACTCGGTAAAGAACCTTCCTGGACTAATAAGACAATTCGACCATGTCCTTATTTAGTCTTTGGAAATGTGAAATTAAAATAACGTTTCTCTTTCTCTCCAGCGACCCCCCTGAATCTGAACCTGGTGTTCATCGTTGGATGTCTTCTTGCAGCCGTTGGCATGATCAGTGCAGTGGCCCTGTACAAAGTCAGAGCCTCAAAGGTCAAATACCAACCGTTGCCCTCTTTCGAAAACTAAGAAAGCGGCCATTTCAGAATACCCATTTTTTTATCAGTTGCATTTGACTACATTAAGCTTCTTGTTTTTTAATGCTATCAGATAACGAGTCTTCATTTGTGCCTTATGGGTTATAAGTGGTGTTTACAGTGTAATCCTATGTAGCTTCACAAGTGATTCTTCTATCATGTACTCCATTATGATTTAAAACTTGATTGATATGTGTATCCAATCAGTATAATGCTTAATGTTAATAGTACATGTACAACTTAATTGTTCCGCCTTATCCTAACTCCTTTAGGCTTAAAGTTTCAATAAAAACTCTCTCATATCTCTTTTTCTTTTGTCCAATTTATTTCTCTTTCTCTCTTGCATCAAACACACATCTTGGATAATTTATTTAATATAATACGAATGGCATTATTTGTAATGCTTTCCTGTTGCTGAACCTCATTATTACCCTTTATGTGCATTTGACCTGGGATTGAGCTCTGTATTTATTTACTGTTGAAGATGACTGGTAAAGGAAAGTTGTCATATAGATATGAGGGAGAAAAGTGTTTAATAAAACAACTTGATATAACAAGTTTATAAATCCTGATTATAGAGAGTAGATTACTTTGAGGTTTCAGCGATTGAATGGAAACAGTCCCATTTGTCAAATTATTGCAATTATAAGGTTTTTAAACCCATAAACTAACGTTCAGTTGTAGAAACGGGTAATTGAATCCTCTCCGTAACATTATTGTCAAGGAGAGACTCTGAAGCATGAACTCAATTGCACGACTCAGATAGTGTTCTCAAAAAATAAAGACTTTACTGGAATTTAGCACAGTAATCAAAACAAGGAAAACAAATATACTCTTTCGAGGAAAACTAGCAAGTGATCAATGAGGTAGATCCGTGGGAAGTCCGTGAGGTAATCAGGAACGTGGGTCATAGTAAGACAACGAACTGACAATGAACAGGAGGAAGCTACCACAATATATACACAGGTAAAGGGGGACACAGGTGGAAACAATCAGGGCGGGGAAAACAATCAAGGACGCAGGAGACAGAAGGGGGCGGGGAGCGTGGAGGCCTGAAATGAGAGGGATGATTAATTAAGGGAATAAACATAAAGCACAGGGCAAAGGGACATGACAAAACTAACATAAAGAATACACTTTCACTATTAGTTTCCTAGACATGACAATTATAATGTAGAGATTCTGCATTATGTATTCTTCTGTTGATATGCCACACGATGGCGCCACTATTATCTTCATTGTGAAACCAACATAATAGTTATCAGATATTTTATCCAACATAATTCAAATGCCCAATGTAACATCAAAATTACAAAATATACAATATTACACCGTACTATTCAAGCAAAAATTCTGGTTTCATTAATACTTAAACATCACTGTATATATTTTTATATACACATTTTAACATATTGATTATTTTTATATATTTAAGCACAATGTGAACATTTCTACATATTATTATAAAATACAAATTACATTATATTCTATTTTATCTTCTTTTGGCACATTATTTCCTTAACTTCTTATCTTTAGAAAAAAAAGTTATTTTTATTTTTTTTGATCATTTTATTGCACATTTTAACTTTTATTTGTATTATTTTGTATCGTCTTAATGCACATTTGACAACTTTTTTAGTTTTTTATCAAGCTTTTATTTAGCATTTAAAAACATTCCAGACCGATGACAGAAACACACGTCATTGTATTTATGCAAACCGTGGTTTCAGGTAATTCAACCATTTGTGTGGATTTATTTGAAGGATTTTCCACAGGAAGTGAAAAAGCTGCTCTTCCATTTCCTCCTGTTTCTCATTTTATGGTCTTATTGCACATTTTCACTTTAACTTATCAGGTTTATATAAATATGTATTATACTATTTTATGTTATTGTCTTATTGCACATATTTATTTTATACTTCTTATATATTCAATTTCTTTTAAGTGTTGTTTTGTTTTATATTTTCTTGCTGCACATCACATGTTTTACTCCAACTTCTTAGGTTTGTATACATGTGTATTATTTTATTTTTATTGTATGGTCTTATTGCACATTTCACTTTATACTCAGTTTCGTGTCTTCAGGAACTGCTCTCCCTGTTCCTCCTGTTGCAGACCTGTATCTCTTCCAGGCTAATGCTAACAGAGCTAGCTTCAGAGTGTCCCGACTGCCGAGGCTGGCAGGCAAGAGGCGACAGGGAAGGACCGGACTCAAGGACCTTTTTGGGGGAAATAACCAGTACTCAAGTTGTAAAAAAAAATCAGGGGGGATGGTGGATTTTATCATATGGGGACATAATTTGTGCTGATAACCCGCCGAGGGTGGGAGACCAACCAGCATAAAGATAATTATTATACTCCTAAAACAACATGCATGTTATGGATGTTCAGATACTCCTGTCATTGCTCTTGACCAAGGCACCTCAGAATTAGAGTCGGTCCCCGGGCTGCCATGGCACCACTAACATTTAGGGTCAAATGCAGAGGACAATTAGCGCAAAATCTTTTTTTCACTTTAATTTAAAGGGGGGGAGGGGATACACAAATGTGGTTATAATGGAAGTATATGGTACAAATATTGTAGGTTAACAGTCCCTCATTTATTATTCAGATAGATCAACTGATCATACTAATAATAAAGTCAAAATAGTTTTTAGAATATTGAATTATAGTGTATTTTTTCAAAAAAGCAGTTACTGGTATACGATCAAAACTGGTATCTAAAGGGTTACATCTGTATCGTAATTAATTAAATCATTATGTAAATTCTTCATGAAAAATGTGAGGAACATTTTTTGAAAAATATTGATCCGTCATCATTTTATTGCAGTTCAAATACAAATATTTTATGTTAACATTCCCAATGTTACTTTTTTTAACAGGGCATTAAGTGCAAATTGAAATTGTTTACAAAATATTAAAATATATTAAAAGATTATACAGATAATACAAAATAGGACCAATGTTGTCAATGGCTGCCTACTCCACTCTCCCCCATCTCATAGAAGTTTCCAAAGATTTTCATAATCATGCTTTTTGGTCTCAATTTTTCTGGCTCTTGCTTTCGGATTGTTAGCTAAGCAATGGCTTTGAAGCCAAGTCTTGACATATACCTCTGGTCTGAACTTGTTCAGTGGAGGGCCAACACAATTGATGAAAAGCAAGGCTGACATGCTTTTTACCTCTAGGGAGCTTCTAGTTGTGGTTAAAATGTTCATCTGACTAAACCAGTGGTTCTCAAACTTTTTCTGTCAGGCCCCCCCTTTGGAGAAAAAAAAAAGTCGGGCCCCCCCCCAACACAAATAGTCAGGCTCAGTGGCGGCGCCAAAGATTTATTTTGGGGGTGCTGTGGGGTAGCTTGACGTTTCATAGAGGGTGCTCAAACATTTAGGATTTCCCATTAATGTACCGGGCGCTAAAGTGGAATGTTCTACTGCAACACTCCCCACGCATACACACAGTGTACCCGCAACTGTTACAATGAAGGCTCAATAATCAGCTCACGGCATATAGGTGTAAGCAGGGGTAAAGTGCTATTTTTATAGGTGGTGTATGGACCTCACATAGGGGGGTCTGGGGGCAAGCTCCCCCGGGAAGATTTATTTTTAAATATTGAAATTAAAAGCATCAATCTGGTGCACTTTGAGAGCAAAATGAAGAGATCTACAGTATGGATACATCTCTCAACACAGAACTGTAAACAGATTTACTATTTATTTATGGATATTTTACAAATCACTTCCCTTTTAAACGTTATACATATTTTAATGTCATATAGTATTTCATAATTGTTTTTAATTTATTTATATTAATGGTGACCAAAACGTTTGAGACCCACTGAGATAACACTGAGAGAGTCCTTTAGCTCACTGAGTCTCTCAGTCTGACAGGAGAGGACTCTCCTCCACTTTGTTGTTGAAAAAACTCCTTATATCCGTTAGCGTAGCTCGCTAGCACCAGAAGCTAACAACAACGATCTCCGGTAACGGTGCGCTCTCTCTCTCTCTCGCTCGCGCACACACACAAAATGGCTCGTTCCACTCACACACAGAGCCGAGCTTTAATGAAACACAGACACCCAGACGTAATAGTACTGTACTGTATCATATTATTTTCGAATCAATAATTTTTCAAAATATGATTTTTTTTAAAATTTTATTTAAATCTTTTTAATTTTTTTTTTTTAATAACCATTTTTTCTCCTGGTCTCTCGCGCCCCCCCTGTCATGCCTCTGCGCCCCCCTGGGGGGGCGCGCCCCCCACTTTGAGAACCACTGGACTAAACCCACGTTCACACTCAGCTGTGGAGATGACCAGAGTGTTCACTGCTTGAAGGAGGGGTTTCAGCTCTTCTGATGCTGGTGGTATCATTTCATCAACAGTTTTGAGTCTGACCAGTTAGCTAACACAAGAGCAAAACGTAGCTAAACTCCAAACTAAGTTGTTATTGCTGCTTATGTCCATAGATTCCACCTTTGGTGAGTAAAGTAATGACTAAGATTACTGACTCTTGATTTACCTGAAATGTTATTTTTAGTATTTTTAAATATGAAGTCCCTCAGATCGCGTTGTCCTCCTGGTCGCTTGGCCATTGTGATGACCGTTACCTGCACTTCTGGCATCGATGAAACAGGCGCATCACGGCGCTCTGGCGCCCTCTAGGGCACTCGCATAGTATAGCGTCAGTGACTCGGTAAAATGTCATTGCGTGTGTGCGTGCTCCCTCGCTCACAGTATTTTACTCAAAATGCGCAAAATTAATGTTGAAATAGCAGTAATACCAGTGCCACCACGTTCATTGATAAAATTACATAAGGGATGGAAAGGGGGAATGGCAGTTTTAGAAGGGGGATGATTTTGACCGTTTTTATTTCAGGGGGGATGCCATCCCCCCTCATCCCCCCTCATCCCCCCTCAACTGGAGTACTGGAAATAACCGAGACAACACCACCAACTCGGACGGACACGAAGGGATTATAACGAGGGCTGTCAGCCGATTAAAATATTTAATCGCGATTAATCGCAATTTCATCGCACATTTTTTGTCTGTTCTAAATGTACCTTAAAGGGATATTTTTCAAGTTTGTAATACTCCTATCAACATATGAGTGGACAAATATGCTTTATGCAAATGTTTGTTGATTATCATTTGAACAATGACAAATATACTCATGAATATTAAACACAACAACCTCTGAACATTACAAATATTCACCTCAATTCAACCTGGAACCTCTCTCATACAATACAATAATTCAATACAAAGTGTGTGTGTGTGTGTGTGTGTGTGTGTGTGTGTGTGTGTGTGTGTGTGTGTGTGTGTGTGTGTGTGTGTGGTGTGTGTGTGTGTGTGTGTGTGTGTGTGTGTGTGTGTGTGTGTGTGTGTGCGCATGTGTGTGTGTTTGTGCAGAGTAAAGGAGCGAAGGAGAAGGTGGTGACGAGGATCGTGGTCTCTCGCTGTGAAGTCGACCTGATGAAAATCCGCTCAGAGTTCAAGAAGAAGCACAAGAGAAATCTGTACCAGACCATCGCTGTGAGTATCTGTGTGTGTGTGTGTGTGTGTGTGTGTGTGTGTGTGTGTGTGTGTGTGTGTGTGTGTGTGTGTGTGTGTGTGTGTGTGTGTGTGTGTGTGTGTGTGTGTGTGTGTGTGTGTGTGTGTGTGTTGTTCAATCACCTCCAGTATGGGTCTTTAATAAAAAAAAACATAGACAAGAACCATTGAATCAAAAGATACTGTGCATGTGTGCAAAATAATGTTGAGGAAAGTCAAAACGAGGGACCTATTCTGGGATTTCCACCCCAAGCGTGGTGCACGGGCTCTCGGGTCAACATTTTGTGTTTAAAAACCTATTTAAAAACTCCTGTAGTAAAACCAATACAAGTTTATAAAAGCCCTGTTTGGTCTGGGTTAAAAATGTTTTAAAAAATTGAATAAAAGGGTTATGCGGCGGGGTTAAAACACAGTTTTCCCGTAAAGAACACAGACTGGATGTGATATTGTCTTATTGTATAAGTATGTTGGGGAAAGTTATTAATCAAACATCAAAACATTTTTAAAGGGGACCTATTCTGGGACTTCCCTTTCCTGCAGTGTGTTATAAAGGTTTCTGTGCATGTAAGCGGTCTGCAGAGGCTTGAGTCCCAAAGTATTAATATAATTGTTCTTTGCTTCAGGAGCACACTAAAGGAGACTACCAGAAGGCTCTGCTGAGTCTGTGCGGAGGAGACGACTGAGCTCTGAGTGGACTCTGTTTCCCAGAAGGCCGCTGGGTCTTAAAACATCAGCTAACTGCAGATTTGTTTTAACTCTGTCCATGAGAGCCTTTTTGTTGTTTCTTCTCTGTTAAACAGATCACCTCCATCTCTCTGAGCAGCTTCAGCTTTTAAATAAAATCGTTTCACCAGATTGTGTTTTTAATTTTTTGACGACCACGACAGGTCAGCAGGGACACTGAGAAAATTAAAAATTTAGTTTTTACAAATACATTTACTGAAGTTAGGTACTTGTTCTTCAGTCTTTAGTTTTTTTACACTATTTTATACATCTGCAAAATTCCACTATATTCTATTTGGTTAAAAATATAAATAATGGCAGAATTTGCAAGGAGAGCACAAAGCCTAAGAGGCTCATCAATGTTCTCCTCCGTTTTAGGCACTTTGACCAAATATCATAACAGACGTCAGACATGTGACACAATGACCGGCACTCAAGCACTGTGGCTTTGAGGGGAATATACTATCTAGTGAGAATGCTATGTGTAGGCCTGGGAACATGCAGCACTAATGAGCCATTCTGTGCTGTTCAGGGTAGGCCTCAATTAACTTGTTCCTGCATTACAGCTTTGAGGGGAGTATACTATGTTGTGAGACTACTTCGATGTGTAGGCCTGGCACCAATCACATTGATACATTCTCCCTAAGCACTGTGGCTTTGAGGGGAATATACTATAGTGAGTGTTGAGATATAACATACAGACATGTATAGTGTATGACTCCATGTATTACTGTGTATCATATATTGTTTATGTAAGTAGCTGCGACTACTAACTGTGTTCATTGGTTAGGGCTGTACCATATGATTGTGATTTCACTACCTGGGGTATAAGACCGTTGGAAGTCACGCCCCTTCTCTCTCTGTCCTCAAGCCTCTTGAGATGTGTGCCTATAATAAATAACGCCGTGATGAATAGTTAAACTTGAACTGCTGAGATTATTCACCTTTCTGCTGCAGGAGACAAAAGGTTTAAGTCTAAATCTGCTAACAGGTTATGGGCCCAGATGCGATGAATTATTCTACAGTTCGAAGCGCACGTGCGATAACAAGGCGAGAAGATTGCCTGTTAGCACAGTTAGCATAGGAGTAGCTAGTTAGCCACGTGTTAAGCTAGTTTAGCATCGGGAGAACCGAGGGAAGCTAAAGCTAAGCTAACGAGGACCTAAGCTAAGCTACTGAAGCTTCAAACGAAAAAGCCATGGCGAATAGAACCACGAGGAAGAGCAAGTGGCCCACGTTTGACGGGAAAGCAGAAGAGTATGAGCTCTGGGAAGAGAGGATGCTGTGTTGCATGCACGGAGTGGGATTGAAGGAGACCATCCTTCGAGCACCCGCTGGAGAGCTGACCGCGTCACTGAGGGCTCAAGACGACAAGCTCAATGCTGACGCCTATTGTGAGTTAGCGCCGCTACTTGACAATACCAGTTTAGGCCTGATATTCAGAGACACGAAGGACAAGGGCCGAGAAAGTAGTGATGGGAATTCCGATTCCCTTCGGGGACACAAATATTTTGATTCAGTTCACTTGAAAGATTCGTTCACTGATTCGTTCACCGGTTCGCGAACGACTTCTGGTGATTTGCACGTTCGCGAACGATTCGTCTTTGTACTTAATTCGTTCAGTGAGTCTTCACTACTGCCGAAGTCCGTACAAGAAGTTTGCTGGCGTAACATTTATGATATTAAAACACATTTTACACGTCACCTTGTTGCCCCATGAATTATGCTCTGGGAATAGGCTACATATTATTTAAGAAATATAATTGGCCATTGTTAAATCTCTCATACATTTGTGCCTGACTATACGATGTATTACAGCAGGCTAGCACGTTATACTTTCAAACCCATGCACGTACTATGTGGCCTAACTTAAATCCCAAAGCATTAAACTCCATTTGGCCGAGTTCAAAGTGAATAAAAAAGTATATCCTCTACATCGGTCTATAGTATGTACCCATATATGTACCCATATATGTTTACCTTTAGCTAGCGGCTAAGCTAGTGGGACGCTACGGAGCCCAGCTATCCGCCCTCTGAAGCTTTTAGGGCCGACAGGGAGAGGAGAATGTCCCGCTAACGCTGTGTGTGTGTTTCACATTAGCGGGATGCTATGGAGCTCAGGTATCCGCCATCTGAAGCTTTTAGGGCCGACAGGGGGAGGAGAATACAACGCTGTGTATTTATCGCTAAGCTAGCTGGACGCTACGGAGCCCAGCTATCCGCCCTCTGAAGCTTTTAGTGCCGACATGGGGAGGAGAATGTCCCGCTAACGCTGTGTGTGTGTGTTTCACATTAGCGGGACGCTATGGAGCTCAGGTATCCACCATCTGAAGCTTTTAGGGCCGACAGGGGGAGGAGAATACAACGATGTGTGTATTTATCGCTAAGCTAGCTGGACGCTACGGTTCAGGTATCCGTCCTCTGTATTGCGGACAGTTTGAGGTGTGTGTGTGTGTGTGTGTGTGTGTGTGTGTGTGTGTGTGTGTGTGTGTGTGTGTGTGTGTGTGTGTGTGTGTGTGTGTGTGTGTGTGTGTGTGTGTGTGTGTGTGTGTGTGTGTGTGTGTGTGTGTGTGTGTGTGTGTGTGTGTTCAGGTGAGAGGGCTCTGATTACAGTACACTGTAGGAAACAGTTCTGAACTGTTTCCGCCAGTTCTTTAAGTTCGTCGTTCGCGAACAGCTTCTCTTTAGCTTTTGGCGGAAGGCGGCGACTCAAACAAACGAATCGTTTTGTGGGAGGAATCAGTTCATCTCGTTCACTTCAAAGATTCGTTCAAAAAGAACGAATCGTTCGCGAACGACCCATCACTACGAGAAAGTCTCAAAATATTAAGGGAGCACTATATTGGAAAAGGCAGACCCAGGATCGTCACCTTGTATATAACCATGACTGCGCTGAAGAAAGCTGATAATGAGACGGTAACAGAGTACATTATCCGAGCTGAGCAGATCATTACGGCACTCAGGAGCGCGGGAGAAGCACCGAGTGAGGGACTAATGATGGCGATGGTTATGCGGGGATTACCCGAAAAATACAAGCCGTTCACTCTAATGGTGACACACGGTGACAGTGAAGTAACGTTGGGACAGTTCAAGGCGAAGTTGAGGAACTTCGAGGCCTCAGAAGATTCAGCCTCAGACGAGATGAGCGAGAGGGTGCTGAGGGTCCAAGCAGCAACAAAGAGAAAGCCCGCCAAACGATTCATCCCCGATGGCGGCAGAGAACACCTCGGCACATGTTGGCGATGCGGAGAGAAAGGCCATCGAAAAGATGACTGCAGAAAGAAAGTCTGGTGTAGCTTTTGTAAAAGCAAGGGGCACACAGACAAAGCGTGCACAAAGAAGGACCGCGGTGATGCCGCTCGGTGCGCGAGCATGCCAGGTGGTACCGGAGAAGCTGCGGGGGGGGGGGGCTACAACCTCAAAGTGCGAGCTGAAGAGACCAGCCTACAGAGACAACAACTACAGACCCACAGAAAAGGATTGATCGTGGACACGGGAGTGTCGTCTCACATCATCAACGATAAGAAGAAATTCAAGATTTTTGACAGCACCTTCAAGCCGGAGAGACACAGCATGGAATTGGCAGACAGGAGGCGCACCTTCGGGGTGGCGCACAGCAGAGGAGAAGTAGAGATGTGTCTGATAGACAGCGAGGGACGACGGTGTAAAGTGACTCTGAGGAACGCACTCTACATCCCATCGTACCCCCAAGAACTCTTTTCCGTGAAGTCTGCTACAGCTAACGGAGCCAAGGTTTTCTTCGACGAAGTTAAGATGCTCTGATGTTACCGGATGGTACCAAGTTTGACATTTATGTATGTAAGAAAATGTACTATTTGCAAACAGAGTGTGATGTTGAAGATAAGTGTCATGTCAGCCATGATATCCAAACGTGGCATGAGATTATGGGTCACTGTAATTATGAGGATGTGTTAAAGCTGCAGGATGTAACTGTTGGTATGCATATTAAGGGTAGAAAGCGTAAGCCTGATAAAGATTGTACAGTATGCATAGAGGGAAAGTTTACCCAAACGCGAAACAGAGATCCGACCGATAAAGCAAACACACCACTTGAGTTGGTGAACACTGATCTAGCTGGTCCAGTTAATAACGAGTCCATAAATGGCTTCAAGTATATGCACTCATTTACAGATGTGTGTACAGGGGCAGTGTTTGTTTATTTCCTGAAAGCGAAGAGTGATGCAGTTCAAGCCACTGAGAAGTATCTGGCAGATGTAGCTCCCTATGGGACTGTGAAATGCATTAGATCAGATAATGGGACTGAGTTCACTAGTAAGGAGTTTCAGACACTATTGAGAAAGAACAAGATCAGACATGAGACGTCTTGTCCTTATTCCCCACATCAAAACGGCACAGCTGAAAGAGAAGGGCGCACTCTTTTTGAAATGGCCAGATGTATGCTTATTGACAGTGATCTGCCTAAAAACCTGTGGCACTATGCCATTCAGGAAGCAGCAAATACCAGAAACCGGTGTTTTAATAAGCACACAGGCACTACGCCATATTCAGCACTGACAGGGAAAAAGTGTAACTTAGCTAGGATGCATACGTTTGGAGCAGTGTGCTATGCGTACCAGCAGGACAGGGGGAAATTAGATACTAGGTGTGAGAAAGGACGTTTTGTAGGGCATGACAAGGGAAGCCCCGCCTATCTAGTTTACTACCCCGACAAAGAGAAGGTTCAGAAGCACAGACTAGTAAAGTTTATCACCAGCACAACTTGTGATAGCGAGACTCAGACACAGTGGTTAGAACAGGATTCGGAAGGAAGACTGTGAAGAGGGAGTAAAGGCCCCACAGCCTAGTGTACTGAGCAAAGATGTACAAACTAACGCTCCACAGTCAGCACCAGAGGATGATGGCGAACAGCACCCTAGGGTGGGAGATATCCCAGTAGGGAGCGCAAACCCCCAGAGTACTTGAGAGATTATACTCAGGAAGATAGTGATGAAGAGGATAAAACACTCACTAGTATAGATTATTGTTACAGAGCAGTTTGCGGTGTACCTCTGACCTTTAAAGAGGCCATGACATCGACCGAGTCAGAAAACTGGGGAAAAGCGATGGATGAGGAAATTAAGTCTCTAGAAGACAATCAGACTTTTACCCTGACAAAATTGCCTGAGGGCAGGAAAACAGTGGGAGGTAAATGGGTCTATTCAGTTAAGGGAGACGTTGACGGACACGACAAGTACAAAGCTAGGTTCGTAGCGAAGGATACAGTCAGAGGGCGGGGATAGATTACGGGGAGACGTTCTCACCTACAGCCAACCTGACAAGTGTACGTGTATTAATGCAGAAGGCAGCCCAAGAGGATTTGATTTGACACCAGATGGATGTAAAGACGGCCTACCTCCATGCACCCATCGATCACGACATTTACATGGATCAACCTGAGGGTTATGTAAAAGAGGGAGAAAAGCTAGTGTGTAAGCTAGAGAAGTCAATTTACGGCCTGAAGCAGTCAGGGCGAAATTGGAATACGATGTTGCATGAATGCTTAACAGATGACAATTTTACACAGAACCCGGCAGACCACTGCGTGTACTCCAAGGAGTCTAAAGAGGGGAAAGTAATAATTGCTATCTGGGTCGATGATCTTATCATCGCAGCCAGCAACACCAAGATTTTAGAGAAAGTGAAAAACATGCTTTCCACAAAATTTACAATGAAGGATTTAGGGAGATTAAATCATTTTCTGGGCATGGATTTCAGTCAGTCTGACGGCTGTGTGAAAGTATCACAAAAGAGATGCGTGGAAAAGATACTGGAACGTTTTGACATGCAGGAGTGTAGGGTAAGGGAGACACCTTGTGACCAAAAGTTAGATTACACTGAAGATGCACCTAAAATGGTGGATGTGAAGAAATACAGAGAGGCTGTTGGCAGCCTAATTTATTTGACTACATGTACACTTCCAGACCTATGTTTCGTGGTAAGCAAGTTATCACAATATTTTGCTGAACCGACAGATGAACATTGGGTTACAGTAAAACACGTTTTGCGTTATCTCAGGGGTACTGCAGACAAACAGCTTTGTTTCAGAAAGAGTAGCGAGAAACTAGGCCTACAGTACAGGCTTATAGTGACGCTGATTGGGCTGCAGATAAAACAGATAGACGCAGTATGACATGAGTAAGGACAGCTCACTAGTCTCTTGGAAAACCAAGAAACAGCCTACAGTAGCGCTTTCCACATGTGAAGCTGAGTATATGGCTCTAGCTCTAACAATACAGGAGTGTATTTACTTGGAGCAGCTACTGGAAGGGATAGACACATACGTGTATAAGAAAACAGTTGTAAACGAGGACAATCAGGGGACAATAGCCCTTGCTAAAAATCCTGTGTGTAGACAAAGGTGTAAACACGTGGATATTAAGTACCACTTCATTAGGTCCACCATAAGGCAGGGAAAGATGACACTGGTTTATTGTCCGACAGACGAAATGGTTGCAGATGTGATGACCAAGCCTGTATCCAAACTGAAGCTGAGGACATTTGAAGGGATCATGTTTGGTGTGTAAAATGTGTGGAAGAAGCCCACATTTAAATCATTTGTACCATGTTTTTGTTTTGTTGATTAGATATGAACAGGTAAACGGTAAGCACATCATTCATAAGTGGGAGTGTTGAGATATAACATACAGAAATGTATAGTGTATGACTCCATGTATTACTGTGTACTAGGGGTGTAACGGTTCACAAACATTTCGGTTCGGTACGTACCTCGGTTTTTTGGTCACGGTTCGGTTCGGTACGTTTTCGGTACAGCATAATTTTTTTTCACAAAACAAAAACATATATATATATATTTATTATTATTAAACTGTGAATAATGTATTCACTCAAATAAATACAACATATAATAAAATAAACATTAAGGTGCAGCATTTCGATGAACTGAAATAATCTGTATTTGAACTGTAGCCTACTGTACTAGCACCTAAGCAGCCAGTTTGACATTAGGACTTGCTTGTCATTGTATTTTCATGTTGTTTAAAGAAAGATGAACTTGTCCACATTGCTTGCTGAAAGGGCAGATCTGCTGGCACTAACAATGTCTCCTGCTGTGGAGAACACCCTCTCTCTAGGGACAGAGGTAGCAGATACAGCCAGGTAGCGCTTTGCTAACATGGCAACATAAGGATATTTGGTGTTTGTAATAGCTTTGGCTCGGTCTGAACTCTCTGCGAGTGTTGGAGGCTTAAATGCTAGTGGGAGTTGGGTTTGCACTTCAGTCTTTTTTCTTTTGGTACCGGTGATATTCACGTTCGGGTGATGCCTTTTCAAGAGTGTGCAAGTTTGATGTATTGCCAGCCGCGTAACCAATTTTAGTTGAACAATGCCGACAAACAGCTTTGGTTCGGTCCACCTGTCTTTGTCCGTCATCCTTGTACGTAACTGCGAAACCAAAATGTTCCCAAACCGGAGACTTCAATGATGCTGGAGGATTTTCGAGCTCAACTTTATCTGCGTTCGCCATTAATTTTCGACAGTTCCTCAAATTACTGACTACATTTGAACGCATCCCTCTGACCAGCTCTTATAGTATGCCTCTCATCCAATGAAATGACTTGCTCGCTCTATGACGCGTTGAACCCAATGTGAGCAAATTACTCTGAATGCTGCGACGCAGCACCTGAGATTACTTCCAAGAAGTTGTTCACGTTTTCAATTTTTTACGTTCAACGTTATATTCGTTCGGTACACTTCGGTACACACCTGTACCGAACCGAAGGGCCCGTACCGAATAATTTCGGTACGGGTACGTGTACCGTTACACCCCTACTGTGTACCATATATTGTTTATGTAAGTAGCTGCGACTACTAACTGTGTTCATTGGTTAGGGCTGTACCACATGATTGTGATGTCACTACCTGGGGTATAAGACCGTTGGAAGTCACGCCCCTTCTCTCTCTGTCCTCAAGCCTCTTGAGATGTGTGCCTATAATAAATAACGCCGTGATGAATGGCTAAACTTGAACTGCTGAGATTATTCACCTTTCTGCTGCAGGAGACAAAAGGTTTAAGTCTAAATCTGCTAACAGTGAGAATGGGCCTTCTCAATTTACTGCTATCTAGTCAAGCTGGTTGGCAAACACTGGAAAATATCTTTATATATCCATTTACCATGCAGTTCATTTACTCTAACTGCCCTGCATCTCAGTGAGCAATCAAGCCCTTCTTACCGTTTCTACGTTAGGGAAGACCTTTGTAACCATTTACAACTATACTTTAGAAAACATGTTGGGTGCAAAAGAAATGTATTGAGTCATGAGATCATCATTTTTTTGTCTTCAAACCTTCATTGAACTTAATAACGATTATTACAGAGAGTATTAGGAGCTATTAGATGCTGCTCTAAAGAAAGCTTTATTAAACTGCATATATGTCACAGCAGTTTGTACACGAAGAGTTCAGCCCCGAGGAGATCATTTCACCATTTTACAAAGACAAGAAACATTTCTGCCAGTAAAAGAAAGTTTATCTATACAGCACATATCTACAAGGTCATTCAAAAGGCTTTACAAAAATATTAAAATACTTACGACAAAGTGCAAAAGAAACATTTAAAAAACACATTTGAATACATTGAAAAAACATTTATTAAAAAGTGTGAGACACTTGATTACTGGGAGTTGTTGCAGATATACGGATCATTATAACTAAAAGCTGCTTCTCCGTGTAAAGGCACAACCAAAGTGTAGCCGCGTCACTACCAACATTTTAACCACACGACTGGGAGATATCTCTTGCTACACTCATGTTATGTCCCCCGAGACAAGGGACATTAGAACAGGACAGGAAGTGGTCTCCTCCTACAGAGAACACAGAGACACTGAGGAGTCATCTGACCAGAACCCAAACCCAGCATACAGAGGTTCAGTGAATGTGGTTCTGAAGGTTTTGAGGTGGGTCAGTTTGTCAGAGGAGACTCTGTAGAAGGAGAGAGAGCCATCAGGATGATCCAGATACACTGCTACTCTACCAGAGGAGGAGGAGGAGGGGGAGGAGGGAGGCAGGACTGTTTTATTGTTATTGTGTCTGACAGAAAACTGTCCATTGGAGCACTTGAGAGACCAGGACTGATAATTCCATCCAAACATTGAAGCTTCACTGTCTCCTCTCCTGCTGATCGCTCTGTAAGTCACTGATATATAAACCTTCCCTCTCCACTCAACCTCCCAGTAACAGCGACCAGTCAGAGCTTCTCTACATATCAGCTGAGAATAGAAGTCAAACCTCTCTGGATGATCTGGACTTGGCTGCTTCCCTTTCACATAAGTCACCTCCCTGTTGTTGTCAGACAGTTTGAGTTCTCTGTGTGCTGTGTTTGTGTCCAGTGTGAGTTCACAGGAATCTGATGGAGGGGGGAAAAACACAGCAATAGTTTATCATAAAACACATATAGCCTAAGGCTATTTTCTTTATTTGTATAAATGTGATAATATATATAATCTTGTCAGTAATGTTATAATGAATACATATCTCAACTGACTGTTCTGTCATCATAAGTCAACCTAAATCCACACTTACATTTCCTCACATCAGGTTTTAACCTGTGCTCTCCACAATGGTCAGCCCTGGAGGAAGAAACAGTCTGAATGATCAAGGACACTTCACACATCTACGGAGCCCTGGAGGGTTCATAGAGAGAAAAATAAATAAAACGTGGCCACGTTTTACTTTCTCGTGCGCACGCTTTAGTAATTTGTGCGCACGAGTTACTAAAGCGTGCGCACGAGTTACTAAAGCGTGCACACGAGTTAATAAAGCGTGCGCACGAGTTAATAAAGCGTGCGCACGAGTTAATAAAGCGTGTGCACGAGTTAATAAAGCGTGCGCACGAGTTAATAAAGCGTGCGCACGAGTTAATAAAGCGTGGCCTCGTTTTATTTAAATTGAGGGATTCCTGTCCGTGACTCACAGTATCTGCTGCCCACAGCTGTTTTATAGAAGGAAAACCTCCGTCACTGTATGAAATCTCAGCGGCACCAGTGGCCTGTACTACGAAGCAGGATTGGCTATTTACACTATTCATTCATGAAGTATGACGCTGCGCTGTCAGCACGCGTCTCCATGTTTGTGATTGGTCAAATGTTGCTAACCCCGTCCCTTTCACCTGAGCGCGCTCTCAGCCGGACAGAGAAACCCTGGTTGATTTACTGAGTTGATAACCAGCTTCGTAGGACCGCTTATCGACATCGCGTTTGTTAGGGTTAGTTAAGCCGGGTAAATCGAACATATCCAGGTCCAGGGTCTGTTGAACTGGCTTCGTCGTACAGGGCACTGGAGGCAGTAACGTGTAACTCAGCAGAATCTGAGAAGAGCAGCACCAGCTGCAAAGAGATGTGCCTTTTAGTGTTTACTTCACTAGAACCGCTGAATAGAGATCGAGGCTGCTACGTTTAACCACACACACCTATACACACATCGAACTACCAGAGTATTCTCCCTCGTTTTATGAAGGAGATGTCCTGTCACCGGGGCGCATGATGTGTGTGTGCTCAGCTCCGCTCTGTGTGCGTGTTCATGTGTATCCGACACCACCGGCATTTGTTTTCAAATTACCACGAACAGTACTTTACACAAATCTGGTTCCCCATAGTTAAGTGTATTCCCAAGTGAAAGAAATGTGTTTAATCTTAATCTCGATGTGCTATAGTCCTGCCGGAGTGCACCGGAACGAACGATACTATCATAAACAAATGCCCCCCCCCCCCCCCCCCCCCCCCCCACAACATTTGTTCTCTCTATGAACCCTCCAGGGCTCCGTACACATCAGTTAAAGGACTGTCAACATTTCAAATGTCATATCAAGGCATAATTTAAGTTATCAGAGAATACAATAAGCTAAAAGGTGTTTATCTTAGCAGAAAAGGATGTTTGATGTTATTATTGAAAAGTCTAAATTAATTTGAAAATGGGCGTAATCGGAGGAAGGAGGTCGAAAGAATAGTTACGTTCTAATTGAGGGATCCAGTAAGATGGTCTCTAGTTTGAATCTGCGTTATTTTATGGTATAGGGTGAGGAACAAGTGTTGTCAAGTGTGTTACACATTTTAGCACATTTTAGCAAACGTTTTTCCCCCCTAAACAACACAGGCTTAAACCTTCTGGTAGTGCTAGAATTAAAGTCAAAGGATCTCTATAAATTGATCTAATTATCATTCATGTCTGAGCTTAAATTTGTCTCAAAATAATCAGTAATTGCCGAGATTTAACAATCAGGACCTAGGAAGAAAACCGAGATAGAGAGTGAGATTTGTCCATACCTGAGAGTGTCCAGTAGAGCAGACAGCAGATCCACTCCTGAGTCTCCTGGATGATTGTAGCTCAGGTCCAGCTCTCTCAGATGGGAGCGGTTGGAGCTCAGAGCCAAAGCCAGAGAAGCACAGCCTTCCTCTGTGACCAGACAGCCTGAGAGCCTACACACACACACACACACACACGCACACACACACACACACACACACGCACGCACGCACGCACGCACGCACAAACAAACACACACACACACACAATGTTGACTCTACTCACGGTCACCTTTTACTGATGGCATAAAGTGTTACCAATCCAGTCCAACACACACTAATTCAATATGCTTTTCAGAGAGATATGGAATAAATCGTGTGAAAACTTTATATAGTCCCATTGGGGCTGCATCATTTAAACACATAGTTAAGAACAGCATTAATAATTACTGTGTAAAAAATGTATAATCTTCTCATCTAACCTGAAAGTCTCGATTAGTGAAAACACCAGAACCCTTGAATATTGGTGCCACTTCTGGGGCAACTCAGTACAATTTAAGTCATTTTGGTCCAAAGAGGTTCTTTAATAAGTAATTACAATATTAAATAGATTAATGACATTTTACGGGGTAAACTTGCAAAATACTGACCTGAGATTTTCCAGTTCACAGTGTGGACTCTCCAGTCCAGCACACAGGTTCTTCACTCCTGAATCCTGCAGGTCGTTGTTACTCAGGTCCAGCTCTCTCAGACTAGAGGACTGGGAGCTGAGGACTTTGGACAGAGCTTCACAGCTTCTCTCTGAGAGCTTACAGCCACTCAGCCTAAAAGAGGGTTTTCATCAGACCAAAAAACAAGTAATACATGAAAAAGAGAGCTTAGAGGACCCTTACTTTAAACCATTTTACACCTACCTAATAGTTTCCAGAGAACAGGGTAGACTATTTATTCCAGCACACAGGTTCTTCACTCCTGAATCCTGCAGGTCGTTGTTACTCAGGTCCAGATCTCTCAGACTAGAGGACTGGGAGCTGAGGACTGAGGACAGAGCTTCACAGCTTCTCTCGGACAGGTTACAGCCACTTAGCCTGAAGGATTATTTAGAATAAATAAAAACAAGTATTATTTCTCATCTATGACATATAAACAGGTTGGATAATGTGTGTATTCCTTTTATTCATCCACTCACACAGCTTTGTTGGAGGCTTTGACCACTGGCAGCAGCCTCAGAAGAGCCTCCTCTGAAGCAGAGTATTTCTGCAGGTCAAACACGTCCAGATCTTCTTTTGATGACAGTAAGATGAAGATCAGAGCTGACCACTGAGCAGGAGACAGATTGTCTACGGAGAGACTTCCTGAACTCAAAGACTGTTGGATCTGCTCCACTAGAGAACGATCATTCAGTTCATTCAGACAGTGGAACAGGTTGATGCTTCTCTCTGGAGACAGATCCTCATTCATCTTCTTCTTGATGTACTGGACTGTTTGTTGATTGGTGTCTGGACAACCTTTTGTTTGTGTCAAAAGGCCTTTTAGGTATGTCTGATTGGTCTCCAGTGAAAGACCCAGGAGGAAGCGGAGAAACAAGTCCAGGTGTCCGTTGGGACTCTGTAAGGCTTTGTCCACAGCACTCTGGTAGAAACGTATTAATTTGCCCTCGTAACCTTTACGCCGTTGGCAGGTGGGTTGTGTCTCTGACATCAGGTTGACTCCAGAGTTGATGAAGGTCATATGGACATGAAGAGCAGCCAGAAACTCCTGCACGCTCAGATGGACGAAGCAGAACACCTTGTGCTGGTACAGTCCTCTCTCCTCTCTAAAGACCTGTGTGAACACTCCTGAGTACACTGAGGCTGCTCTGATATCGATGCCACACTCTGTCAGGTCGGACTCATAGAAGATCAGGTTGCCTTTCAGCAGTTGCTCAAAAGCCAGTTTTCCCAGAGACTTCATCATCTTCCTGCTCTTTGGACTCCAGTGAGCATCTATCTCAGCTCCTCCATCATACTTGATGTTCTTCACTTTGGACTGAACCACCAGAAAGTGGATGTACATCTCAGTCAGGGTCTTGGGCAGCTTTCCTCCCTCTCTGGTTTTCAACACATCCTCCAGAACTGAAGCAGAGATCCAGCAGAAGACTGGGATGTGGCACATGATGTGGAGGCTTCGTGAGGTCTTGATGTGGGAGATGATGGTGCCGGCCTGCTCCTGATCTCTGAATCTCTTCCTGAAGTACTCCTCCTTCTGTGGGTCAGTGAACCCTCGGACCTCTGTCACCATGTGCACAAACTCAGGAGGGATCTGATTGGCTGCTGCAGGTCGTGTGGTTATCCAGAGGCGAGCAGAGGGAAGCAGCTTCCCCCTGATGAGGTTTGTCAGCAGCATATCCACTGAGGTGGACTCTGTGACATCAGTCAGGATCTCATTGTTGTGGAAGTCCAGAGGAAGTCGACACTCATCCAGACCGTCAAAGATGAACACAACCGGGAACTGATCAAACCTGCAGATTCCTGCGTCTCTGGTTTCAGAGAAGAAGTGATGAATAAGTTCCACCAAGCTGTACTTGTTCTCTCTCACCACGTTCAGCTCTCTGAAGGTGAATGGAAATGTGAACTGGATGTCCTGATTGGCTTTGCCTTCAGCCCAGTCCAGAGTGAACTTCTGTGTTAACACTGTCTTCCCAATGCCAGCCACTCCCTTTGTCATCACTGCTCTGATTGGTGCATCTCTTCCAGGTGAGACTTTAAAGAGGTCTTCTTGTCTGATGGTTGTTTCTGGTCTGTGTGGTTTCCTGGATGCTGTTTCAATCTGTCTGACCTCATGTTCATCATTGACCTCTGCAGCCCCCCCCTCTGTGATGTAGAGCTCTGTGTAGATCTGGTTCAGAAGGGTTGGGTTTCCTGCTTTAGCAATGCCCTCAAACACATACTGGAACCTCTCCTTCAGGGTGGATTTGAGTTTACGTTGGCAGACTGCAGCAGCAGTTCCTGAATGTACCAGCACAAAACTAATTAATATGTGGATGCGACAGTAATCTCAAGCACATCAATTGAGAACAGCGTTTGACTGTTTCCAGCCAAGAATAATTCAGGTATCTGATAAAAAATGTATGCATCATACAGCAAAGTTTGGAAAACTAAGCTAAGCTATACTGATATTGTTTTAGAAAGTAATCTGTACCGACAGAGCATTTTAAGAAATTATAAAAATACTTATACTGTAAGTATTTTTGCATCAAAACCCATAATACCCCCTGATAAATGATACTCTTTAGCGAGGTAAGACCCCCCTACTTTATCATTGATTGGTCAGTGCTCGTGGCCTCCAGTGGTTTAGGTTGTTTGGTTTAAGATAAATAAAATTGGTTAGGGTGAGTTAGGAACGTCATAGGCAGAGTAAAGGGGTTCATGCCCTCCCGGTTATTTTGAATAATAATTACGGCCTGAGAACAGAGGTGCGCGATGAAAGGGAGGCTGCGCCACAGCCTCCCTTTCATCCGATCAACTCCAAATTAGGAAGGTAGCGTCTCGAGACTGGATGAAAAGTTATGAAAATCTAAGCTTTTCATCGCAAGGCATAGCCATGATGCAGCGCCCAATTTCACGTTTGCTCGATTGATAGGCGATACCTCACCATCAAATACATTACATTACATGTTACTTGTTATACGCTTTCATCCAAAGCAACTGACATACTCAATACGGTGGGCAATCCCCACAGGAGCAATTCGGGGTGAAGTGTCTTGCCCAGGGACACAACGACGTGCTAACTGCAGAGGGGTTTGAACCTGTGACCCCCCTGATCCGAACATCAACGCATTAACCCACGACGCCACACGCCTGCACGATAATGTCTTAACTCCAACTGACATGCTCCGAACGCCGCCAAATGTCACTTGATCGTTAACACTGCTGCCCTGAACAGCTCTACGTAAAATCAGAGGTTTCATAATGTGGCGTTACCATGGCAATGCATCCCTCGCCATAAAACGCAAAGTCGCTGTAAGTCCAATGGACACGGTCCGATCCCCATCGAACTTCACTATATTCGCTATATGTATATTGGGGACCCAAGTTCCCATCAGCAAAAACACGTCGGTTTGCAATCCTGGCTCCAAAATGGTGGAATGAGCTCCCCATTGACATCAGGACAGCAGAAACCTTACACATCATCCGGGGGAGACTGAAAACTGATCTCTTTCGACTCCACTTCGAGCGATAGAATTACTAGCAAAGCACTGGCTTATCTAAAGCCAGTTGAGTAGCACTTGAAATGTTTTGGCTCTATGAAACCTGATGTACTTATATGATTCTGTTTTCTTTAAGTTTGTATCTTCTTGGTCGAATGCACTTATTGTAAGTCGCTTTGGATAAAAGCGTCAGCTAAATGGAATGTAATGTAAAACATTTTAATATCACCGGTCTATGCCTCAACAGTGTTACCAGAAATCTGAAGTGTCATCAATTGTCATAAAGTGCTCAAACTTCACATGTGTGCTAACAGTCGAGCCCTGAAGACATCTACATGTCAGTTTGGAGATTTCGTCATTGCCATTGCCATGGCAACACAATGCTCGCCATGAAAAACGGTTTTCTCATAACTCCAGCAAACATTTTCCGAACGGCTAAGAAATTCACAGGTTTGGTAACGATGCAGCCCTCAAGACATCCAAGCATATTATGGGGTGTCATCAAATGCCGTTGCCATGGCGACTGATCACTCGCCATCAAACACGATGTTTTTGTTACTGCTTTAACTCCTATAGACATTGGCCGATGGGCCTGAAACTTTCCATGTTTTCCAACGGCTGAGTCGGGAAAACACCTTTGTGATGTTGACGTGCGGACAACAGCGGACCTACACGGAGCATCGAAGACCCACTCATCGCTTCTTGCAGCTTTATATATTAAGATTTTTCGTCTTTGAAATTTAATTGGGTTTATGTTTTGATTTATTTTATTAGATTACTGCTACTGTTAAATCCTCTTACTGCTGTGCAGAAGGTCAGCCAGCTCCTCCTGCTTCATGCTCCTCAGGAAGTGCAGTGAGATGTTCAGAAATGCCTCTTTGCTGCTCCTCCTCTGCTCTTCATCCTCACCGTCCAACACCTCCTCATCCTCCCTCTGACTCTCTAAGCATTCTGGGTAATCTGAAGTCAGGACTGTCTGGATCTTCTTCAGCTCGTTCTTCACAAAAGTGACAATGTTCTCCTCCAGCAGCTGGAACAGAATAAAATGTAAACTTTAACTGGTAGTCAACATCAGATCGTGTACCTGCCTTACATTTGCAGTTTATTTCTTACAGCTACACTGTATAACTACGCTTCCTACCTGTAAAGGTGTAGCATTAACAGAGGCACAATTGGGAACATATTTTCTTGTGGGTTTCTTCATCAGGCAGTTTTGAAGTGAGAGCATTTAAAAAGCTTATGTCTGCTACTCAGCTATAGCAGCCATGGAGATCCACAACTTCAGCAGCTAATGTCAGGTCGGCTGAACTAGAAAAAAACCTCTGGAGTGCTGAGTATCTGGAGGCTTGTATTGTCATCACAGGACAAAAAACACAATGCCCGGTAGTGAAATAATATAATCCAGCATGTGGAAACAAAAAATGCAGAAAAAGCTTAGTATTGGATTGAATTTACAGTAGAAAAAACCAGGACGCAGTATCATCAGTGTCCGGCAGTAACTCAGTCCGTAGGGGCTTGGACTGGGAGCTGTAGGGTCGCCGGTAAAAGTCCCCGAACAGACCTAAATATGGAGTGTGGACTGCTACTTGGAGAGGTCCCAGTTCACCTCCTGCCCTGCCGTGGTGCCCTTGAGCGAAGCACCGGACATCCCCCTTCCCACCTCACTGCCCACTGCTCCTAGTACTAGACTCCCGGGTGGGTTAAATGCAGAGGCAAAATGTCACTGTGTGTGCTCTGCATGTGTGACCATTAAAGAGGGTTTCATCCCTCCCTATTCTTCTATCATACGCATTGTTATCAGACGTGTTACCAGTGATACTTTAAAAAGTGACATATACAAACCTATGACTTTATAGTGCAGTGTTCACCGCTCATTATCTGTCTGGCCTCGCAACTGCTGTTGAGAAGCTAAAATGGCAATTGTTGATGCTGAAAAGTAACTTCAGAAGTATGCAAATTGGGAAAAGGTTAGGGAGACAGTTAGGGCTGTTGTAGTGATGGCTGCGCTTGTACATTCACTCACCATAAATATGGAGTCCAGGTCAGTTTGATGCTGCTGGGCAGACTGACCACCAGGAACCTCTGATCTCTGCTGGTGAACTCTGTGGAGCAAAGAGGAGGATTTTAACAAATACAGAAAATAAAAGCATGGGCTGTGTTAGAGGATCCTCCTACAAACATGACATACAGTTTACAAATTATGTAAACGCTTATTACATTGTCTCTTAAAACACAGTTGAGTGTGAGGTGGACTGGTCTCTCACGTTGGAACACAATTGTTGGATCATGTTGGATCCTGATAGAAACACAATCAATTATGAATGCTTGGAAGATAAAATGCTGCCGAGAATTATGTTGAATTTCAAACCTTAAATAGCAAACAGGAAAAATTATTTGTGCTCTAAATTCTTACCTTGGACTATCATCATGCTCTCGATCTTTAAACTTCATTGGTGGATTCATAGACCGGTCACTCCTCATGGACACACAGCTGGGTCCAGAAGAGTCTGGTCTGATGCTGATAGAAACACAATCACTGATGAATGTTCAGAAGATAAAACGCTGCTGATAACTATGTTACATTTCAAGTGTTTTAATAGAGAGAAATAAAAATGACCTTTGCTTGAATTCTTACCTTGGACTATCATCATGCTCTCCATCTTTAAACTTCATTGGTGGATTCATAGACCGGTCACTCCTCATGGACACACTGCCGGTTCCAGGAGACTCTGGTCTCTCATGGTGGATCCTGATAAAATCACAATCAATGATAAATGGTACAATGAAAGGCTGCTTTAAAGGTTGCTCACATTGAAAACAATAACTGATAAATGTGCAGGAGATAAAACACTGCTGATTATCATGAATTACACCAAATGTATTTCCGAACAACCACATGTATGATCTAATTCCAATTCTTACTCTGGACTATAAGAACGAGGACTATTTTTAAACGTTGGAGATTGAGGCATAGACAAGTCACTCTTCATCAGTGTTGGAACTAACGCGTTACAAATTAACGCGTTACTATAACGCTCTACATTTTGTGGTAACTAATAGCGTTACTAGTTACCTATTCCCATTCAGTAACGCCGTTATAGTTACTGTGATTGAAATGGATGCGTTACTGCGTTACATTATGTGATCCAACTGAACCGAATCTCCCTGCGGATGTAGTTTACAGGCGAATACAGCGATGTCCTCTCACAGCACCATGGAAAAGAGAAAGGGACCAGAGAGGAGTGATGATTGGTTAACGCGGGGTAACATTTCAGGGTAAGCCAATCAGAGACAGAGTTGGGCGGGTCTTGCCTTCTGGCGAAAATACACAAGAGGCTTCTCAATACTCAAATTTCCCCTCCTCGGTTCCCCTCCTCGATACTTAGACCCGCCCACAGGAGATGCGAGCGGAGGACCGAGGAGGGGAACCGAGGAGAGAGGAGGGGAAGCAGCAGGCGTTTAAATAAATGAGAACTCCTCTCCTCTGAGCGGTCATATTAAAGCGACGTCCGTTCATTATTACGTGGCAACAGCTGCATCAGCTGTCGAGTGTTTTGTCATAGCGCTGTATTTTATAATCTCTGTTAGATCAGCTGAACATTGTTCCCCCACATATTTACTTTGAATTCATTGAGAGTGCGGTATAATGAGACAATAACAGGCTACAGATGCGGACACACAAATATATTTATATAAATATATACAAATAAAGTATGAGAGCACTCTCATAATAACGTAACACAATCAGAGACTGGATATATCCCCCCCTCTCTCTGTCGCTGAAATGGGGAATTGAAATTACGGGCCAAAAGTTGTATTTACAAGTATTAACTTGTAATAATAATAAGCCACTTACAATTTCCCGTGAGATCAGGCAGCAGATATAAGATGGAAGTTTCCCTAACATACAAAGCCATGTTAGGGAAACTTCCATCTTATATCTGCTCCCTGATCTCACGGAGAATTGTAAGTGGCGACTGCCTGAGATCGCATGCTGTGGTTTTATTAAATGTGCCAACTGCTAGGACTGTCTTAGGGAAGACAGCTTTTAGATGCGCAGCTCCTCTGTCTTGGAATAGTCTGCAAATTAAATGGAAACTGAACAATCTGGTGCCACTAAATGTTTTTAAAGCTCGGTTGGATGATAGTCAATCGGAAGCTATTTGTACCTGTTTATGTGGATAATTATGTAAATGGTGCTGTATGATGTCCTTTTGTTGTTCTATTTATGTTGTTATGTTTCATGTGGAACTACTTGAACAGGTCTGCCTTGAAAAAGAGATCAATGATCTCAATGGGATTTATCTGTATAAATAAAGATTTGAAATTAAATGAAATTAAAAGTAAGCAGAGGACACCAAACCAACTGAGACCCGTCTGTCCGCCGCATCTACGCACTGTACAACACACACCTACATACTGTACCACACACATACACAATGCATACAACACACACTTACAGCTCCTAAAGCATAATCAGGCTACAGCCGTTGTGTATTTTATTATGTGAAGCACTAAATGGTCTTAGAAAAATATCGACTCTTTGTACTACAGCAAATAAAGAGAGTAATGTAGGCCTGTTATACTGAGTGATATTGTACACTGCTCTGCTTTCTGCACGGACCTCACAGCTGTTCTCACTGTAAACATCGCAACGCGATGAAAGCAGTTTCTAAAATAATATCCAGGGGATGCATGCAGAGCTGTCATTGGCTGAGATAAGTCCGGCCGTGCGTCACGCCTCCACCGTTCCCGGAAATGCATCCGCGGAGGAGCCGTGGAGGAACCATCAGTGTATCCTCGGTTATAGCTCCTCCAGAGAGCCTCCTCGACGCTCGATCCTCGGTCCTCGGTGTGCATTTAGAGAAATGAGACGTCCTTCAAAATGGCACGCTGAAATTAATTTCCGGGTCACTACCGGAGGACCGAGGACCGAGGAGTCGAAGAGGGGAAATTTGAGTATTGAGAAGCCTCTACAGACACACAAACACTTGCTAATGCTAACACACACATACACGGCAACGACCACCACCACCAACACACACACACACACACACACACACACACACACACACACACACACACACACACACACACACACACACACTATGGCAGATGCAAGTATCAGCGAGAGCAGCAGCGCATTTACACTATTTTCAATTTGTGGGGACAAACGACGCAAACAATATTACGGTCCAATGTAAACTGTGTGCAGGACAGAAAGCATTGTCCACATCGAATAACAGCAATGCCAATCTCCTGAAGCACCTAACTAATGTACATGTGGGGAGTTGTCTTTTCTCTTACGGTGCCACAGAACAACACAACAACTTGTATTTGTATTGTTATTATTTTTAAAGTAACGTGTTACTAGTTACTTTTATGATTTAGTAACTAATAAAGTAACTAGTTACTTTTTTGAGAGCAGTAACTATAACTATTTCTAGTTGCTGAACCCCGGCCTGTCTGGAATACAACAAAAACAAAGATAAATCCCCCCATTTAAGCTCTCCAGGGGCGTGATGTTCTGGTTCTGGTGGAGTGAGGAGTGCTCAAATGTGGGAGGGATGTGTAAAGCAGAGGAGGGTACAAAAAAAAAAAAAAGTTAAAGTGTGAACCTCCAGCAGGGCAGGTGGTGCTGCTGTGAATAAGTCCGACTATGGAGTCTGATGGTCGGACTGTAAAGCACCGCAAAATAGACCCCCTTATAGATTACCAGGGCTATGAGAACATCCTCCATAGGAGGGTGGGTGCTGCTGCTGTGAATAAGTCCGACTATGGAGTCTGATGGTCGGACTGTAAAGCACCGCAAAATAGACCCCCTTATAGATTACCAGTGCCATGAGAACATCCTCCACAGGAGGGTGGGTGCTGCTGTGAATAAGTCCGACTATGGAGTCTGATGGTCGGACTGTAAAGCACCGCAAAATAGACCCCCCTTATAGGTTACCAGTGCCATGAGAACATCCTCCACAGGAGGGTGGGTGCTGCTGTGAATAAGTCCGACTATGGAGTCTGATGGTCGGACTGTAAAGCACCGCAAAATAGACCCCCTTATAGATTACCAGTGCCATGAGAACATCCTCCACAGGAGGGTGGGTGCTGCTGTGAATAAGTCCGACTATGGAGTCTGATGGTCGGACTGTAAAGCACCGCAAAATAGACCCCCTTATAGATTACCAGTGCCATGAGAACATCCTCCACAGGAGGGTGGGTGGTGCTGTGAATAAGTCCGACTATGGAGTCTGATGGTCGGACTGTAAAGCACCGCAAAATAGACCCCCTTATAGGTTACCAGTGCCATGAGAACATCCTCCACAGGAGGGTGGGTGCTGCTGTGAATAAGTCCGACTATGGAGTCTGATGGTCGGACTGTAAAGCACCGCAAAATAGACCCCCTTATAGGTTACCAGTGCCATGAGAACATCCTCCACAGGAGGGTGGGTGCTGCTGTGAATAAGTCCGACTATGGAGTCTGATGGTCGGACTGTAAAGCACCGCAAAATAGACCCCCTTATAGATTACCAGTGCCATGAGAACATCCTCCACAGGAGGGTGGGTGCTGCTGTGAATAAGTCCGACTATGGAGTCTGATGGTCGGACTGTAAAGCACCGCAAAATAGACCCCCTTATAGTTAGTAACTTGCCCAACACTGCTCTTCATGGACACACAGCTGGGTCCAGAAGAGTCTGGTCTGATGCTGATAGAAACACAATCACTGATGAATGTTCAGAAGATAAAACGCTGCTGATAACTATGTTACATTTCAAGTGTTTTAATAGAGAGAAATAAAAATGACCTTTGCTTGAATTCTTACCTTGGACTATCATCATGCTCTCCATCTTCAGAACTAAAAGATCGAGGCTTAGAGCGGCCACACTTCATGGGAACACGGCTGGGGTCAGGTCCAGGAGAGTGTGGTCTCTTACGGTGGATGCTGATAAAATCACAAACAATGGTAAATACAAAGGTGCACTCAAACTCTGCTAAGAATTATGCTGCATGGATGTTTTTAGTAAAAAGCTGGTAACAAACTGTGAGGTACACATTACTTCTGATCAGAGTGGGATCCATCTTTGACGTCGGCAGGTTCAGACATCCTCTGGAGATTCTTAGTGGATCCGTTGTGGTGGCTAGATCCAGGTCTAGCTTTTGTCCTCACACTGATTCATAGCAGAGTCGTACCTGCACACAAACACAACACCGTGCTCATCTGTGCTCCTTCCTGTCTGTTGCAAACGGACTCAGGTTCATCACAAGGAGAGTGTCGATGCGAGATTATTCTTCAAACAAACTCAATTTATTTCACTAAAACTCAGATTAACAATGAAGTGTGTTCATCAGCAATATCAACAATGAAAGAAGTTAATTGGGAAAAACGACTTTGTCTTGACTTTGCAAAGGATTGTGGGTCAGAGTAGCATGCCGGTTTACATTAGTGATGTGTCGGTCGCGAACGAGCCGGCTCTATTAAGTGAACAACGTCTCGCGCCCGCGAACGAGCTCCGTGCATGCATGCAGTGACATGTAATATCCAAGGATTAGAGACTGTTGGATGCTGCTGTTTTTCACATTGCTATACATTTATTTGAAACTTGTTTATGATTAGAGACTCTTTTTATTGCTTGTTTTTATTTTTACGCTCAGCAAAGATTTGATGTCAGCTGTTGCTTTTCTTTAGTAAATACTGAAATAGAGCCCTGCTGTTTTGTTAGGGCTTTTTCTTAAGTCAATACAGTAGCTGTCCTTTTTTTAAATGTATATGCTTACGTTTTTATAGGTTCTACAGCAAGTCCACTGGAGCGTCTCTGACTGGCAGTGACTGCAGTATCATTAAAGACAACACATAAAGGCCCTTTACACGCAGTGAAGAGACCACAAAGAGGTTTCACATCATTCCTGGTATGTTTACTCTTCAATGATCTCAGAGTACAATCAAACTGCTGCCAAAAACTGTCACCATTACAAGGAAGTCTTTTTTAAATCATTCTTCTTTAACCTCGTACGCCCCAAGCCTGTTTTTCAGGTTTCAGGCTCGAAAATGACATGCCCAAAACAAAGGACTATAACTTAACTTCTAAAAGGGTTATATGAATAATTTATTTTATCAAAGCAAGGTCACATCTGTGAGTTGGATGTAGATGTGTCAGAATCAATAAAGATGTTTCAGTGTCAGAGTAAATCCAGATGGAACATAGTCAAAAAGTGTAAATTCTTGTCTCCGCCCAAATAAAACCCATTACTTATAGTGAAAACCACCCTTGAATGATGGGTTAGTAGCCTAAAAGCTTTAGGAATCCAAGTATAACATATAATAAGTACCCTGTATCAAGACTGAGGCCAAACAAGTGAGAATTTACCTTTTTAGAGAGGTTTAGCAAAACAAAGTCCAAGCGGACTAAGCTTTGGGCACATTTGGGTACATTTTGTTCCATCAGTGCCATTTAACCTTTTTCAGGTACCAGACTGTAAAAATCATTGTATAACATTTAATTATCACTATAGGTATTCATTCCATAAAAAAATAAAAAAAAATAAAAATTATTGTAAACAAATAAAATAATTAAGTCTGTGTGTGTGTGTGGTGTGTGTGTGGGAAGTTCCCTCTTTGCATGAGATGCATGTTACTTGTACAATAAAAAATAGGAAACTTAGGAAACATTTGACTCCAACTGGAGCAGATTTATTTAAAAAAAATTAGCAACACACTATACAACAAGCATTTTTTGGGTAAAAAAACTTTATACAAACCCTGAATGTTACAGTATTACCCCAGTAAGTCATGCCATTCCCTGTAACAGTTATTTTTGGTGGTGAAGCACAGAGGGACCTGACACTTCCTGCAGGTGTCTTCACCCTTCAGCATCAGAGCACCCCCTGCAGTACCTCCTGACCTTGGTGGCATCTTCCCCATAATACTCGGGCATCCAGAAGCCATATCCTCATCGTCTTCCTCACTGTGAAAACAAATGTGGAAAAAACAAATAGATTAATTCTCTGGCTTGTACTTTCAAAAATGTAACTCAAATCAGAAATAATTTCTCTACAACAAGAGCAGAACAATTTTGAGTGTGTGAAATAACATTATATCACTCAAAATGTATACCGTGTAAATTATGTGAGACGGGGTTCATATCATCTTTTCAATATTTAATAATATTCCGTCTGTCATATATTTATATATGTATATTGTGTATATACATATTATGTATGCATTTGTGTATATATATATATATAATACGTAATAATTGTAAGTCACTTTGGATAAAAGCGTCAGCTAAATGAAATGTAATACCGTGTTAAATTCAACATGTATATGTCTTGTTTATTTCAACAACAAGAACAAGAAACGGCATCCATCTTCTTTGTTTGTTGTTGAGTGTGTAAAATAACATTATATCACAAGATGGATGCCGTCGTGTTATTGTCACGTGTGTGAAATTACTATAGATGAATACACTCTTACACCAAATAAATAACAAAAAGATAAAACAGATGAATACTCTTACACCAAATAAATAAGTAATAGATACAAACAGAGAGATTACATGCCTTTCCGGTGACGGAGGTTCATAATCAGAGTCATTACTGTCCCCTTTATGCGTGACGACATCACTATCTTCCGACGGAGAGTCCTGAAATATGATGTCCAATGCCTCCTCGACGGACAAAAAAGTCTTCTTTCTGGCTGCCATTGTTACAATGAAGACAAAGAAAACAAATCCTGCTGTTTTGCTGATCGATCTGCCGTTCTCTGCTCTCCTGTCGCTGCGGGACATGCTGGGACATGCTGGGACATGCTATGCTATGCTATGCTATGCTATGGTATGCTATGCTATGCTATGCTATGCTGCGTAAAAAGAGTGGGGTGTGCCTAAACTAGCTATACTGCCTTTACTTATACTTACGCAATATCCTATCTCTGGAACCCATTGGTCGATTTGGGTGATTGACACCTTTTTTGAATCGTTAGAGCCAATCGAATCGAGTGGCAGTTTCAAAATACGTAAATACGTTACGCCTGCGGAGGGGGAGCTATGCGTAAACTGCATCTCCCGCAGCTGAAGCCACGGACTGTTAATCGTTGGACCTACTCTTCTACCGTGAATGAAAGGATTGATTATCAGTAATCATTTTAAAGTGACAAGAGACATTGGATTAACCTTGAGCAGCGTTTGTATTCCTTTGAACACAACTTTTGATCACAAAACAGCCAAGGTAAGACCTAATTATTGTCATGGATTTGAAAACTGATATTGTTTACTTGCTATGTTCTGGCTGCTAGCTCGGTTAATGTTGTGCCTGTAGTGATGGGGTGTATACCCATGGAATCTGTGGAATTTCAGCTTTCAGAAAATGTGTTGTTTGTGCAGAAAGTATGAATTATAAATGATCGTTTTTGTGAGTTATGAGCAGAAATAGCAATTGCCCGTTTTTGCCATGGGCTCATTTAGAGGCTTCTTGTGAGACTTCTTTTTCGAAAAACATTTTTTTTTTCGTATCGTCAGTTAGCCAAGTTTCCTCCGGTCAGATGGGTATGAAATATTAATAGTTTCATGAATGACACTTCAGATATAGCACTGTTGCTACATATATAGCATTTTCGGACCCGAGCTCGGGTCCGTGGGGCTTAAGAGGTTTTAAGTCCGAGGGAAATTCTCCACAATACTTTAGAATATATAGAATCTAAAAAGTGTACAATAAATAAGAACAGCAAGACTCCTGCAGGTACGTTAACTTCAAACATCCCAAACATTTTGAAAGTACTAAATACAGAATGAGGAGTTTATTTATTTTTTGGCCAAGGTGCACATTGTTAATAAATGTAAATATTGTTGATAAAAATGATCAGTTCAATTCTCAAAAAGCAACGCATCAAATGGCAATACAGATTGGGAGGGACTAATGTCGATGGGACTCAATTCAAAGGAAACCAACATCAAAAATCTCCTTTTGACTCAGCCGACTGTGACTTCAGAAAACAAAGACATATCTTTTACCTTATGTGCCTGCATGAGAGGACAAACACAGTCTTTGTTACATACTAAGTACTGGATTCTGATTGGTCTGTTATTTCTGACTTGGACAGGTACTGAAAAGCTGGATCTGTGCTGCCGTCATTTTAAGTCACGGTTGCAGTTCAGACGCTGATAATAGAACAGAACGACGGACCCCTACATGTACACATCTCATGCTATCACACAACATCCATCAGCAAAGTCAATACTCCATCAAAACTGTTTTAAATACAAAGTCCAGCTAACAATGAGACTCCACTGGAGCGTCTCTGACTGCAGTATCATTAAAGACATAAAGGCCCTTTACACTCAGGTATTATATCTCGTCTGCTATTTCAATGTTAAAACATTAAAAAACAAACATGTCAGTCATGTTGATACGAGTTTGTAGACAGCATCAGACACTCCCTGCATTTTTCACTGAAGATGTGAACTCAGATTACAATCAAACTGCTGCCAAGAACTGTCGCCATTACAAGGAAGTCTTTCAAAAGTCATTGGTCTTTAATTCTGAGACTAATTTTCTACGATACTTTGGAATAGATTTTATAGAATCAGCACCAAGAAACATTTGTTCTGACCGGTTAAACAGTGATAGCACGATGTGATCAGAGTGATCCTGATGATGAAACATGTACAGATTCCTCTGGTAGGGTTCCTTACTGATGAACTGAATGTAATCATGTTAGGTAAGTTATCCGTTGTTTTATCCCCAAATATTATGTACCTACAAACTTACAAACTAAAAAAGTATAATCATATTCTCACCTGCTGAATTCCCTTCAGGTCAATTTAGACGCCTGCGTGTGTGGAGGAAACTCTGCTCATCTCTTCCTCGTCAGTCCTGTGTCTGCCTGCATCTGATCTTAGGGGACAGCCGTCACTCCCTCATAACTTTAGAGTAAACACATCAGAGTGACGAACAGGTCCAACGGGAAGAAGAACCAGTCAAGGTGAGAGGTGATGCCAGGTGATGAAGTTCTATAGCTCTCCACTAGATGGTGCTGACTGACAATGCTGACCTTTCAGATCAGCAGGTACAACACATCAGTGACATGAAACAGCGCAGCCACAAACCACAGCCGCTCAGGCTGCTGGGGTGATGTTCTTTTTCACTTCTCAAACACGCGTTGGGCTTGCAAAAAAACACATTTAGTTTTCACTTCATATAGCACTGTAAATTGCATGAAATTATGAGCTGTTTTGTTTTGTTTTGTTTTATAATAATACAAATAAATTATTTATATACAGTAGCACTTTTCATACAACACATGCAGCTCAAAGTGCTTCACAAAATATCACATCACAAGTTAAAAACAAACAAGAAATTCCCCTCAGATTATTTATTCAGAACTTTAAAGGTACAGACAGAAAAATATAACATTTGATCAGGTTAATAGACACAAGGAGGTTAAATGTATGATAATACAAATAAAATAAATAATGGTTTCTCTCTGACAGATAAGACACAAGACAACTGAGTTGATGCAACAATATAAAATATAATATTACATATTTTGTATGTTGATGTATATTGTGTGTGTGAGGACCCAGGAAGAATAGCCAATGCTCATGCTCGTGCTAATGGGGATCCTAATAAAGAATAAGAATAAGTACTGAAGCTCCACACAGAAACTCTACCCTCCAAACCTGAAAAACTTTATATTCCCTGTCGAAATTAATTGATATATCATTTGGATCATATTAATTTAAAGTATGCAGCAGAGTGATGATGCACAAACCAACACACTTAGCTAATTCTTGTTGTAAGAAATGTAAATCCTCATAAACCAAAAACATTGAACCCTTATTTAATTGTGGAATTATCTAGAAGTTTGAGGCATTGTAGCCCATGTCTAACAATATCGTCTTTATTTACGTTGTTGAATTGTTCAGTAGTTTCTGAATTATTATCTCCTCTTAATGTTCATCGTATGCACCTTGAGTGAACAATCACTAGTTACATGTTCAAGTGTATAGTCATAAAGTGTTTGGTCCTTTTATAAATATTACCATATAATACTATAATAGCAGAAAGAAAACATTGTACATTGTAGTTAGCATTATTAACTAGCTAGCTAAGTAGCTAATAAGGCTAGCTAGGTGGATACCACTGATACCACTATGCATTGTTATCAAAAACAGATTTCACTGTTACTCAATTGACTTGAATATAAATACAATGTTAAGTTGAATTGAAATTAAAGAAAGTATCTTATCCATTTTTGATAAGATAATTTAATTATCTTATAGTAATAATTTAATGTGATTTGAGGTGGTTCGGGCACTAGTTAGGATGCCACCTGGGAGCCTCCTAGGGAGGTGTTTCCAGGCACGTCCAGCTGGGAAGAGACCAAGGGGTAGACCTAGGACCAGGTGGAGGGATTATATCTCTTCGCTGGCCTGGGAGCGCCTTGGGATCCCCCAGTCAGAGCTGGTTGATGTCGCCAGGGGAAGGAACCTTTGGGGCTCTCTGCTGGAACTGCTACCCCCGCGACCCGACCACGGATAAGCGGGAGAAGATGGATGGATGGATGGATCTTATCAAGTTGAAAGGGCATCCAAAATGAAACTAAATATAACAATAGCAATTATTTCTAACCGACTGCAAGAATACATTTGAATCCTGAAAACAGAACATTACAGTCAGTGCGCATAACGTTTTGAAGTAAATATAAGATGTAATGTTGTTTTGTGTCAATTTTATTAGGCTATAATAGGTGACAACATTTCCAATGCATTAACAAACAAAAAGCATGATGACATAATCATAATTTATAATTGCAAAAGCTCATAAGTGGTTAAAGAAGAATATATTGTTTCAGATTTAGTTACATGTGAATTTAAGCTCCCGTTGTAATCTACTTAAAAGCTTCATATGCATCTTAATCGTTCATGAGTGCAAAGAAATATTTATGTTATAAAATAATCACAGGAAGTGCAAAGAGGAGAGGTTAGGAAATGGTGCAAACTGCAGGACTTCACACATTGAACCGACATATTCACAGGTTAACAAAGTTATTCAAAAAATTCCCTTTTTACCACAAACATTTCCCTGAATTTAGAAACGTATGTCAACTTTACTTGACAGGAAATGTTTCTAACGTTCAACAGTATTACTTGGTATTGCCAATTAAAATACATCACTTTCCTCGACACTTTTCAAGGACCTAACACACAAATGATGACATACAGTGTCCCTCACACATCCTGATTCCCATTTTCTTTGATTGTACGATACACTGTTATTCACTTTGAACCAACTCTCAGTTCTGTGTACAGTAACTTACTCCAACTCAGTCTACACAAAAAACACTTTCCCACCTCTAGTGTACGAAGCCAAAATGGAAAGTTAAAGGCATACAATGCAGGATTTTCAAAAAACATACATATATTCTTAACAAAATACCTTTTGATCATCAAATATGTCCTTCTAGAAGTGTGTCATGGATTCTTTAATGCAGATAGCCGTTAGATATTCTTATTTTTCTGCATACTGGATGTTTTTGGCATCATTGGTTGGACATTTCAAGCCATACACAACATTTGGCAATGCATCACCTCGAGGGGGTCAGTGGATGTGTTTCTGTGCTTTAGAGAGTAACTGCTGCTAAAATGAGTCATACATAATGTTGTATTACTCTGATTCATACCTTGGTCTCTCAAGCACCACAGAAACTGATAATCCACATAGTATGCTTTAAGGTTTCCTATTCCTTCAGTAAAAGGTATTTCAAATTCCACATCTTTTAATAACACAGAATAACACTTTCATGTTTTATTGTGAGGACATAAAACCTGACTCCACTCCAGGTTAAATGAAGTAATGTGTTTGTGAACCACACTCTTGTTAGTTGTATGCAGTTCTGTAGATATTTACAAAAAGGTACGACTGTTTTTAATACTTCATAATACTTCAAAATGAAGCTTATTAGATCTCAAACACATCTTTGCAACATTTACGGTGCGCTTTTAAACTCACAGTCGGTTTTGCGTGAGATCCAAATCAGTGATTTGAATAAAGTCCAGTGAAGAGGAGTAAGTGATGAAGGTCAGGGGTTGGTCAGTTTGGTCCAGGCGTACGCAAAGAGACCGTTTCCTCCCACAGCTGACAGCGAGTGGACGAGTAGCTCTGCACCGGCGGACAGCTGGTCGGGACAGGAGAGCAGTGGCTGCTGGGTATTCTGGCCACTCGTCCGCCATCTTACCTGCAGGACAGAAGAGGAGGGTTTTCATGGATGTATAACATGGACTGGACACATCGTTGGAGTCGTTTAAATATACAGATTAGCCAGGATATCTGGAAAGGCACACGTCTGCTTTTTCGTTTTCATTTAATTGTTTTGTTGTGAAGACATCTGTGAAAACCTGACTCTACTCTAGGTTAAATTAAGTAATGTGTTTGTGAACCAAACCCTTGTTAAGTCTATGCAGTTCTGTAAACAAGACTGCCTGCTTGTGAGTAAATGGGTCACATGATATAGAAACAAATGTTTACTAATATATGTATCGAAAGATTGATTTTATTTCATTCAGATGGTTATTTATTGAGGATCCCTTAGTGGAATTCACACACACACACACACACACACACACACACACACACACACACACACACACACACACACACACACACACACACACACACACACACATCACACACACACACACACACACACACACACACACACACACACCCACACACACACACACACGAACACACACACACACACACACAGGTGTCATCCCTCAGGACAAAGAAAAACCCAAAATACGGATAAACTAGAAATGTGTGCTATTTTATCATTACAGGTCAGGTTAGAGGACGCACGGTCCGTGAAACTGCAGAAGAAGACCATCTAATTTAAAGCGTATTTCAAGGCGTCACAACACTTAACAGCCGCAGCATCTCCATTTCTGATTCTGAATTGATCACAGATCACATGCACAGGAAGCATGTTGACCTGTTTTGGCGAAGGTGACGAGGTGTTTTGTGATGAGATCCTGGAAGCTCCGGTCTCCGTCAGAGAGCTTCTTCCCCAGCGCCGCCTCCAGACCCCTGAAGAACGAGAGGGTGTCCAGGCAGTGGAAGGAGAAGCGGCTAGGGAACGGCAGCAAGTCTCCCGGACAAGTTCACACCGGGCCAGAGGGGGTGGCGTCACACAACGTACCGGTACCCGGGCTGTCCAGAGCCTCTGAGCACAGGGAGGGGGATCAGACCAACAGATTCACATTCAAGGGGCCCTAATGTGCTTTTGGGTGGGTTTTTCCCTTTTCCTGAAGTGTTTATACCGATAGGGTTAAGTGCATGCAAATGGTCTGCAAAGGCTACAATCCCCAAATCCCCTCTAGAATAGAATAGAATATATCTTTATTGTCATCGTACAAAGTACAACGAAATGTCTTTGGCAACTCTCACTGCAGAAAAAATAGACACAAATAAATAAGAGTGGTAAAAGCGAGGTAGTAGCGATGACAGTGCAACAAGATAAAATTCAATATCAATGTGCATGTTTACACTTACAGTCTAAAAACGTTACATATACACAACTGTATAAATGTAGTGTATTTCTAACTGTGTGTTCATAAAGGGTTATAGTAGCCAAAGGATGCAAGTAAAATATCCATAAATATTTCGAAATAGTAGTGGTTGCAGTCTTTGAGGGGCGGAGGTGTGTTTATGAATGTTCACAGTTGGTTGTATTGGTGTTACTCTAGAGTGAGTTTTCTCTCCCACACACTCCTCCCCATGCCTTCAACACCTCCATTAGACTCCCCATACATTGTACGTGATATATTATATATATAATATATAGAATAATACCAGATTAATTGTTCCCATTTAAAACACATTTCGTGGTATCAGGTGTGAAGCAGTTCACCTGCGGCCCTCCTGGCGAGGTCGTTGTTGGGCAGGTGACCCGGATGTCGGACACCATGGAGGTGAAGCTGCGCTCCGGGCAGCGGTCTGTGCCGTCGGACAGCGGGCGGAGCTCGGGTACAACTCCAGTGCATCGCTGGGGAGGGTCTCAGAGAAGGACCGGAGTTTATCTGTGAGGAGAAGCGAAGAGGATATACAAGACAGAATTATATTTACAGATACACTACCAGTCAAAAGTTGGACACACCTTCTCATTCGAAGGTTTTTAGTCTGTGTGACCGGCGAAGCCACACACAGTATATAGCAGGGGTCGGCAATTAAGTTTGGCCTTGGGCCAATTTTTTTCTGAGCCACTAGATGGCGGGCCGGAACATAATCAAAGGCTAATTTAAAGTGGACCTATCATGCTATATTTGAATAATATATTGTAGGGTCATACCTATATAAAGAATGTCTGTGAAGTTTTTTTTTCAAAATACCAAACAGATCATGCATTTTAGCCATGCCTCATTTTGCTCTATTTGCTCTTTTCCAGCCCTGTTTTCACAAGGGCTGATTCTGTGGCAAATGAGCTGCAGCTGACCACGCCCCCCTGCAAAGGAGGGGGGCGAGGCACGAGCGTCATGTTACCATGCTGTTACCATGCTGTTACCATGCTGTTACCATGCTGTTACCATGCTGTTACCATGCTGTTACCATGCCACGGCAACCTCTTCTTCCCCTGATAGGTGGAGAGTTGCCCATATAGGCGGAGCACCCCGTTTCTGACGTCAGAACAATTTCAAATCTGGATCAGCTCCGTTGCAGCCCCGTTTTTAGAGATTTGGGTACGGAGGAAAAGAGAGAGGGTTGTGTTTTCTGACACTTGGTGAGTTCCCTGACACCGGGGACACATATTCATGTATAAAAGACCTACAAAAGTGCATTTTGCATCATAGGTCCCCTTTAAGTAATTGATTGTTAAAACATGTGACACCTTCGAATGCTTGGGGGGGGGGGGGGGGGCGTTGCGGTGCCGTTCTTTGATTCTAACAGATTCTACAGATGGCCAGTCCGCCACTGCTGACAAGCTTATTAAGATCTAAAGCTTTTGTGCGTTTGAATCAACTTTCTTTCAAAACAAAGCTGCCAAATGGGGTGGCAGCATATGCACCACTACCCCTCGCCCTCCATGATCAAGCAGCTTTCTCCGATTTTGTTGTCAATGTTTTGACTGAACTTGTTACTGTTCACATTAAGTAAACATTACGTTTGAATGATTTAGTAAGCTGGTGTTTGTCACACCACAACCGCATATTGGCTATTTCAGCACCACACGCTGTCATCAGCAGGAGAGGACTCTTTAAAGTAGAGACACTACATACTGATATACACTTGAACATCAGCAGGAGAGGACTCTTTAAAGTAGAGACACTACATACTGATATACACCTGAACATCAGCAGGAGAGGACTCTTTAAAGTAGTGACACTACATACTGATATACAACCTGAACATCAGTAGGAGAGGACTCTTAAAGTAGAGACCACTACAGACTGATATACAACCTGAACATCAGCCAGGAGAGGACTCTTTAAAGTAGAGACACTACATACTGATATACACCTGAACATCAGTAGGAGAGGACTCTTTAAAGTAGAGACACTACATACTAATATACACCTGAACATCAGCAGGAGAGGACTCTTTAAAGTAGAGACACTACATACTGATATACACCTGAACATCAGCAGGAGAGGACTCTTTAAAGTAGAGACACTACATACTGATATACACGTGAAACATCAGCAGGAGAGGACTCTTTAAAGTAGAGACACTACATACTGATATACACCTGAACATCAGCAGGAGAGGACTCTTTAAAGTAGAGACACTACATACTGATATACACCTGAACATCAGTAGGAGAGGACTCTTTAAAGTAGAGACACTACATACTGATATACACGTGAACATCAGCAGGAGAGGACTCTTTAAAGTAGAGACACTACATACTGATATACACCTGAACATCAGCAGGAGAGGACTATTTAAAGTAGAGACACTACATACTGATATACACCTGAACATCAGTAGGAGAGGACTCTTTAAAGTAGAGACACTACATACTGATATAGAACCTGAACATCAGTAGGAGAGGACTCTTTAAAGTAGAGACACTACATACTGATATACACCTGAACATCAGCAGGAGAGGACTCTTTAAAGTAGAGACACTACATACTGATATACACCTGAACATCAGCAGGAGAGGACTCTTTAAAGTAGAGACACTACATACTGATATACACCTGAACATCAGTAGGAGAGGACTCTTTAAAGTAGAGACACTACATACTGATATACACCTGAACATCAGCAGCAGAGGACTCTTTGAAGTAGAGACACTACATACTGATATACACCTGAACATCAGCAGGAGAGGACTCTTTAAGTAGAGACACTACATACTGATATACACCTGAACATCAGTAGGAGAGGACTCTTTAAAAGTAGAGACACTACATACTGATATACACCTGAACATCAGCAGGAGAGGACTCTTTAAAGTAGAGACACTACATACTGATATACACCTGAACATCAGCAGGAGAGGACTCTTTAAAGTAGAGACACTACATACTGATAAACACCTGAACATCAGCAGGAGAGGACTCTTTAAAGTAGAGACACTACATACTGATAAACACATGAGAATGAGAATAACATTTCATTAATGTTGCATTAAATGTATTAATAAACAGCTGTTACCTGTCACAAACCAGCTGTAGTCGCCCCAGGTCCAAGAAGAGATGTTTTCAGCTCGTGGGCTACAGAGAGAGACACACACACACACACATGAGTTTAATCACATACTTATGTATATATAATAACTTGCTTTATATTTTGTTTTTGTTAATTCAACATGAATAGTTTCTACTTTTTTGATTATTTCTAGACTTTTTATTTTTGTATTCAGAATCAGAATACCTTTATTAGTCCCACAGAGGGGACATGTACATTGTTACAGCAGAACAGAGCCAAAGACAGCTTAATGTTACCTAGAAGCATGCATACAAAAGTATTAAAGATAAAAAAGTTACACATTTCACAAAATACACATCCTGTAACAGTTCATTGTATATTGCCTTGTCTTTTTATGCTGCTGCAATACAAACATTTCCCAAATTGGGATCAATAAAATACCTCTTATCCTATCCTATCCTAGCAGCTGACAGTAAGGAACCTGAACCAGGCGTCCTCTCACCTGAAGTCTGCCTCCTGCTCCGTCGTCCCGATAACAAACGGGACGTCGTTGTAGTTTCCTTTCTTCTTCTCCCACACCTCGAAGGGAGGAGCCTCCAACACGTATCCGTCCACCACCGCCTTGGGGCCCACGAAGTGTCCTCTGAGGGGGAGGTCCATCACCTCGTCTGCAGCCCAGGACGGGAACTCCTGCCACGGGATGGCCTGGGGAGGAGCGGGGGAGTTGGCTTTTAAAGGATGTCACCAAAAACCCTTTTTAAATCACATAAAAATCAAATCTCTATATTAAATGTCCCCTATTATACTGTTTTTCATCAATATATAATAGGTCTCAGATATATACAAAAACATAGTTGACTTTTACAAACGATTTTTGGTGACATAATTTAAAGGTCTCCTATCATGCTATTTTTAGGCATATATTATGGGTCTCAGATATATACAATATATAAAAAACATGTCTATTAAGTGTTTGCTCAAAATACCAAACAGGTCATGCATTTTAGAAATCCTCATACCCCTCTATTTCAGCCCTGTTAGAGAACTGCTGATTCTGGGTCCTTAGCTTTAAAAAAGGAGATAAAACGCCATATCATGTTCAAAACCACATCAAGGATAGTGATATTGTACAGGATGTGCAGAGCTGGCACCTTCAGGACGTCGGCGATGGGGAGGCGTCTCAGGCAGCTCGGGTCGCTGCAGCCCGTCCTCTGCAGGAACAGCAGGTTGTCGGACTCGGCTTGTTCCAGCGTGGCGTTGTAGACGTACGAGCCGCTCATATCCACCGCCGCCCGAAACAGACCCTTCGCCAGCGGAGACATCATCATGGTCCACACCGACGTCCCACCTTACACACAATAACATACATACAGTTGGTGTTTAATACAAAAAGAAAGACAAATATTACATTTTATGATAGACACAGATCATACTAAACTGTCCCGTTCTCTTCTCTAGCCACAAAGAGAGCTGCAGGAATTGATCATTTTCCTTTATATCTAATATGTATATAGGACCCAAATATGCATGTATATATGTTCATTTTAATTCATTTCTTATTTTAAAGTTACTTAACTGTATATAATTGTATTTTATCTTTGAAAGTCATAGCTTTTTACTTCAAAAATCATAAAGTGGTGTTTATCCAGGGTTGCCAACTTGGGGTACCTGGCTGGAGTGAGATTTTGATATCATGGGTTTAATTACACATAATGCACTAAATGACTGCTATCGTGTCAGCAGCGGGAACTTAGCATATATATATACAATATATACAAATACACAATATTGGACACAGAATATAAAGGGCATAAAGTTTCATTCACTAATGAAAGTCAAACACATGTTTGTTTCCACTGTTATATTATGTGCCTGTCGCGATAAGCAATTAATTGACTTATCGTACGATAAATAAAAATGAACTCGATAACTTTTCTGACCTCGATACATTTACATGAGGATGTGACTAGCCGTTTGAAAGGATGTACTTGAATTATTATTATATATTACCATTATGTCGGTGGTCTAAAATGGTCATACAACGGTGCCGACAATATTATCGTTTATCGCAATAATTTCCGGGAAAATGTATCCAACAAAATTAATTATCGTGAGAGGCCTATACATGAAACACACACACACACAAATCTACAGACTTACTCCAAACTGCCAAATATATTCATTAACACACTCTCACTCTCATACACTCTGAATCTATTTTGGCCTAGTAGAACAATAAGGAGCAGACTTTTACTCTTTATAATTTCTACTGGATCTTAGATCTGCGCATGCGCAATACGGGTCGGGGATTGACCAACCGGCTCCCACTGCTCTGCTGTCTGTTAGCGTTGTTAAGAGTGGTGGGGGCGGGGAGGGAGCGGATCCACAGCTTGAGCAGCTGTCAACTCAACATTGTAAATAACCAACCAAAAACGATCGCCGGTTCATCTTGTTTTTGGCGTGAGAATAGTTTGGGCAGCGTGAGAGCGTGAGACTGAGAGTGAAAGCGTGTGTCACATGCCAGATGCGTGAGAGTTGGCAACCCTGGTTAATATGTGGAGATTATCCTGCTGAACAAAACGATAAGAAGCTTAATTAGTGTTGTGGACATAAACCGAAAGTATTGGACAAAGTAAAATATTGACCTTAGGATGGCAATGGAAAAGTTGTATAGTAATCAAAGTTGTTACAAGTCAACCGAGGAGCAAGAAGAAGACCAAATGTTATGGCAATAAATCCAAAACGTATAAGTATCATAAACATTTATCTGACACAGAGATGATTTTCTGCAATAATTCAATCAAATGGAGGAATCCGATTGGACCAGGGAGATGTGGCCTTCAGGGTCGGCCTACTCTGTGTCAAATTCATTGTAATATGAGCAACACATTTAGGACAAATCAAAGCAAAACGTTGCTTTACTGGTCACACATTTTGTAAACTTAAAAAAACTGTTTCATACCTGAGCTCTGTCCGAATATGGTGACTTTCTCAGGATCTCCTCCGAACATGTGGATGTTTTCCTGGACCCACTTCAGAGCTGCGATCTGGTCCATGAAGCCGTAGTTCCCTGAGGAAGATGGACGAAGAAGGGGGGTCCATTAGCAAAATAAACAACCAGATTTGATGTGGCCTTATTTCAGGCGCCCAGAAACAACCGGCTCAAACTAAAGATAACTCTTCTCAAGGCTGGGGAGCGAGGACATGGGCCACGGTGTCAGGAGTACTCAAACTAATAATGTCTTTCTGCCACTTTTTGCAGGCTTTTACCGGGTCCTTTCACAGCATTATGTAACAGCAATCCCCCAACACAAGGATGCAAATATTACAAAAAATAAACCCTCTGACTCACATGGGTAAATATGCACATCTTAATGGGAATGTAAAGACTTATTTTAGCATCCAATCAGACTGCAGAACAAAGTAAAAATTATTATTGCATCAGCCAAGAGGTAAACGGCTTGTTAAAGAGCGCCCACTTTATCCATTGAAACCTCTTTAATGCTTCGTAGAAGTTGAATAAAAGCCATTTTAAAGACTTCTAAAGCTCCAAAACTCATTTCAAAAGAGTCCCTATTCTAATTTTTGTGGCGTTCCCTTTCTTGTCGTATATTATATAGGTTTTTGGTGCATGTAAATGGTCTACAAAGGCTAAAATCCCTGGCCGTTTCTCAATCTCGAGGATACTGGCTTCCAAGCCAATATTTCAAGGATGCTACGTCATCGAGTGCCGCCGAAGGACTGTTCCAATGTCCAGCATACTTGGAATTCCACTGAGGCCGCATCCTTGGTTTGGGGGAAATTTCGAGGCTGCACATGGGTAGACTTCGCGTCCTTAAAATCCCCACAATGCTTTGCGCACGGACCAATTTCAAAAACCCTTGCGGGAATGGCTGAACCGACGCAGCATGCATTTAAATGTAAGTATGTAGTGGCGTAGAACATCCATCCATCCATCCATCTTCTCCCCGCTTATCCGTGGTCGGGTCGCGGGGGTAGCAGTTCCAGCAGAGAGCCCCAAACTTTATTTTCCCTGGCGACATCAACCAGCTCTGACTGGGGGATCCCAAGGCGCTCCCAGGCCAGCGAAGAGATATAATCCCTCCACCTGGTCCTAGGTCTACCCCTTGGTCTCTTCCCAGCTGGACGTGCCTGGAACACCTCCCTAGGGAGGCGCCCAGGTGGCATCCTAACTAGGTGCCCGAACCACCTCAACTGGCTCCTTTCGACGCGAAGGAGGAGCGGCTCAACTCCGAGTCCCTCCCTGATGACCGAACTTCTCACCTTATCCCTAAGGGGAGACACCAGCCCCCTGCGGAGAAAACCCATCTCGGCCGCTTGTATCCGTAGAACATGTGTTGGTAAATAGGTTACTTTGTTACATTCGTTTGTTTTCACCAATAATGTGTTCCGTGAAAGTAAAGCAAGTTCATAATTAGATAGACATCGTGAGGTATTTATTTTCGGTACAGTTTATGTTGAAACCGTTAGAGAGAGTGGCACACTTGTTAGCCTGTTCCATTCTTCTTCGTTTTCCGAAGGCTTGGAAGCATACTTGCTTCGTTTCTGAAGGAAGTGACTTGGAAGTACGCGACTACCAAGCCAGCATCCTCGCGATTGAGAAACGGCCCCTGTGTACACACTTCCAGAACGTAATGACATCACTATTGTATCTCTAGCTTCTATTGGCTAGCGCTCCAACACATTGTACGTGATAGACTAAGGGGCGGGACATCTCTAAGCGGTTGACCAATCACAACAGAGCCGGCCAGCTAACCAATCAGAGCAGACTGGGCTCTGGTTCCAGACAGAGGGTGAAAGGAGGTGCTGCAGCACAGGCAGTATGAGAACAATAAAGAGCCTTTGAACAT